TCAAGCCGGCCCAGTCGCGCGCCACTCACCGACGCGCGCCGCGACCCAGCCGACGTCCTGTCTCAGCGTCTCCTTTTTGCTCTGCTCCTCGTCGCGCGTCACCTCCCGCAGACGCGCCAGCTCCTCCTCGATCTCGACGCACGTCGCCGCCGGCTCGAGCACGAGGCCGAGCAGCGGTGCGTCGGAGGCGGGCGGAAAGGCGGCGATAGAGGGGGAGGGCGAGGGCAGAGTGAGGGCACGGCGAGGTGGCAGGGACAGGAAGAGCGAGGGAGAGGCATTTGTGATGCTGCCCCCCCCCCCCCCCAAACGGTTGCGATGTCAGTCTGCTGCCCGATGTGCGAGAGAAGAGGAGAGAAGAAACTCACGTGCCGACGACTCGCCAGCCGCCGTCGTCGGCGTGACTGTGATCTGGCGGCACGTAGCAATGCACGCTCGTCGCCGTGCCGTCGGGCAGCGGCGCCTGGCCCGTGAGGAAGACTGCCGCGGTGCTGTGGTTGGTGGCGTCTGCCTGCGTGTCGCTGCTGCTGCCGCTGGCGGGTGCGGGGAAGAGGGTGAGTGCGGACGAGGAGGCGGCCGCGGGGAAGTGCGAGGCGGGCAGAGGGAAGAGGGCGTGGGTGGCCGAGACGGGCTGCGGCGGCTGCGGCAGCGACGAGGCAAGGAGGAGCGAGAACATGGGTGAGGATGAGACGGCAGTTGAACGGTGAAGAGCGAGGCGTGGTGGACGCGAAGCAGGAGGCGCCAACTTCAAGCTGCAGCGGAGGCAGGCAACGCGCGAGCCGCTTCGAGCTTCGCGGCGGCGCGTCTTTCTGTTTGGCCCACGCCGCGCGCGCCTCCACACGCCCAGCTTGCTCTCCTCCACCACCTCCGCCGCCACTCTCCTCCTCCGCGTCGCACTCCGCCGTCGGCGCTTCGGGGGAGCGCGCGCGCCTCGCGCCCGTCTCTTGCATCCCATGTCGTCCTGTCCTGCCTGCGCCTCGCGCGATGTCGAATATGTCTCCTCGGCCGCGTCGGTCGTGTGCAACGCATGCGGCGCCGTGCTCGCCTCCACCAGCGGCGGCAGCAGCAGCGGGGGCGCCAACAGTGGCGATCTCGTCGCGCCCGAGCTGCGCTTCGGCGGCCACGCCTACGGCCTCGGCAGCGTCGTTCTCGCCGGCGACGTGCGCGTGCGCGCGCCGCGCCTCGCCATGCCCGGCCGCCGCGCCGGCGAGCAGCGCTGGGTGCCGGGCCAGGAGGCACTGCGCGACAAGGCAGAGCGCAGGGACATGCTCGAGAGCCGCAACATGCCGGCGCTCGTGCGCCATCTCGGCGGCGTCCTGGCGCGCGCCGGCGCGCCGGCGGGCATGCTGGAGCAGGCAAAGGTGCTCTTCACCCAGGCGCGCATCTTGGCGCGCGCACATCGCCTGCGCCTGCTGGAGGATGCGCGGGCAAGAGGAGAGGAGCACGGCCAACTCTCGAGGACGCAGCGCGCGTTGGGAGAGACGCGCTGGGGCATGCTGAGCGAACACATGGCCACCGTGGTGGCATGGGCGACGATGAAGCGGAACAGATGGCATCGCGACTTGGAGCAGCTGGTGGTGAGTGGTTTTGGCGCGCTCGCAACAACAAGCGTGCCAGCCCAGCGAGTGAAGGTCAGAAGCTGACTGCTGTGCTGGCCCACGTAAGGTCGAGAATGGACAGCGTCGTTCGATCGCACACAATCAATTGGCACGTCTCAAGCGCCTCTTCCACAACACGCCCATCCTCGCGCATCTCAACCACGCCGAGCCAAGCGCCTACGTCTCTCAATACTTCTCCGTGCTGCAACGGCTGCGCGATCAGCGAGCCACGCCCGCAGCGGCGACGAAGGGCGTGCCGCCAAAGATACTCGCCTACCTCTCCTCCGTGCCCGACTGGGCGCGCGCCGAAGCCCTCGCGTCCAGCCTGGCTCGCGTGTGCGAAGCAGAGGGCCTCTTCAAGCTCCACACTGGTCCCGGGGTGCATCGCGATGCGCATCTCATCGCGTATGCGCTCGTCGTGGCCGCGATTGAAGGCACGATCAAGAAGGCATCGCCCGTGTATCAGATTGTGGCACTGTTTGATCGAGCCGAGCAACTGCGTGTCGAGGAGCTGGAGCGGCGCGAGGGAGAGGAGACGGCGCGTGCCGAGGAGCGGCGCGAGGAGCAAGCAGCTGCGAACGACGATGTCGACTCGAATGCAGAGTCGCATGGCAGTGACGACGCCGACAACGACGACGCAGCAAGCAGAGGCGAGACCGACTTTGCCGCTGCGCAGCAAGACGAAGACGTGCCGCGTCGCGAAGCCGTGCTGCAACGTCTGCGCGAGCTTCGCCGCATGGTGACGCCGTGGATACGTGCTCTTCCCTGGTTCGACGACAAGGACACGCTCAAGACGCACGAGGCGAAGCAGAGGGCTGCACGCAAGAAGCGCCAGTCGTCGAGCAGCCGCAGCGGCAAGCGCCACGGATCGGAGGAGATGGAGGATGCGGATGCGGCCGTGGCGTCGCGCGCAGACTTTGCCAGCTATCTGGCAGACGTAGTGGCCTTTCGCGATGCCATCGCCACGCGAGCACTGCAGGCAGAGCACGCACGTGCCGACGAATGCGCAGCCGCAGACGACGCCCTGATGGCCGCCAAGCTAGGCGCCGTGCGTGCGCAGTTGCGCGCCGCAGACGAAGCAAGGCAAAGCCGACGCACCGACGGCTGGGCGCGGCGCTTTCTCGAGGCGCAACGCCACTCGCATGCAAGTGAGCGCAGGCCACGCGTGCCGGCGCGCAGCGAGGAGAAGAGGGAGATCGAGGCGTTTGTGCAGGCCGAGACGCTCGAGCAGGAAGTGGCGCTGCTGCTCGATGGCGACGACGAGGTTTCCGAGGGCGCAAGGGCGGTAGACAACGCTGCTTTGCAGATGCAGCAACTGCACGCTCTCGCCTCGATGCTCGACGAGCAAGCTCAGGCAATGCCGCCAGCCAGTGCTCGCGCCGCCGCGCTGCCGCACTTCCTGCTCCTCGACGAGCAAGAGCTGGCGTGCGCCGGCGCACGCGTGTCCGGCGCCGCCGCTCTGCATTCCGACGCGGCCGTCGACGCGCTCCTCTTCGCGCCCGCCGAGCTCGAGGGCTACTTCTTCACGCCCGACGAGTGCCGCGCGCGCGCCGCCATGGCCGAGCGTCTCGGCATGTGGCAAGGGCCGGCGCGCGAGGCGAGCGGCGCCGACAAGCCACACGGCGAGAAGCGGCGCAGCAAACGCACGCTGCAGGAGCGAGCGCAAGAGATGGGCCTGCACGTCATCGACGGCCGCCTCTCAAAGGCGAGGCGCGTCGACGTCGAGACGCTGCTCGAGGGCGACTCGCGCGGCGTGGAGAGAGACGAGGAGCGCGAGATGGAGATGGAAATCGTAGAGGAGGCCGGCGACGCTACGCCCATGCGCTACACCGACGTGAGCGAGGAGGAGGAAGAGGAGGAGGAGGAGGAGGAGTAGGAGAGAGAAAGAGGGAGAGAGAGAGAGAGAGATGTGGGCCGCCACTGCACGCTCGCGGGCCCTGAGTGCCACCAGCGTCATCCCCACTGCATGCGATACCCACCCATCCAGCCGATGTGACTCCCGTCGCTCAGGAATCGATTGTTCATTGCGTCTTGCGCTCGCGCGCCGCGTAGACGCGCCGCGTCCACGCAATGAGGTTGGGATGCCGCAGCAGCTCCTCGCGCAGACTGCCTGGCTCGGCAGCGCCGTGCACTCCGGGCGGCAGCGGCAAGCTGAGGAGCGTGTGTAGCTGCGCGAAGAGCAGCGCATCCAGCGGGGTGGCAGATCTGCGAAGGAGTGTGTGCAACGCTCTCTGCATCAGCGCCGCATTGCGGTCACGGGGGCTGTAGAGAAGCGCGGCAACGACTCACCTGGCGCCGCAGCACCAGCCTTCAGGCTGCACCATCTGCGCCACCGCTGCGATGGCTTCCCTCGCGCGCGCCAGCGCAGCCGCAGGATCCCACGCCAGCTGCGACGATTCCTCCTCGTCCTCCTCTGCCGCGCCCGTGCTCAGCACGCCACTGCCGCCCAGCAGGCCTGCCAGACTCCACTCCCAGCCCGGCACACGCGCCGTCGGTGTCAGTGGCGCCAGCTTGGCCGCCTGCGCGCGCGCACGGCGCGCGGGAGAGAGGCGCTGGGCGTGTGCGGCGCGCGAGAGGAGCGCTCGTGCACTGCCGGAGGGGTCGGGCAGAGCCGCTTGGGCTTGCAGCTGTGTGTGTGTGTGTTTCCAGCGTTTTTCCTCGTCAGCGAGTCCCCCAGTCTCAGCGCGGGAGGGTCCGAGGCCCGCAGTAAACACGCACCACGCCCGCCTGCAGATCCGTCTCGAGCAATGCGGCCAGCGCATGCGCCTGTGCCGCCTGTGCCGACGTCGTCCACGGACCCGGCACCGCAGCCGTCGAGTGGGTCTCTGGTAGCTCGGCACGCTCCCATTCAAAGGGAGCATGCGTGGAGAAGTACGTGTGCAGGCCGGCAGTGGGCACGACGAGGCGACCGTGCGGCGCGATGAGGAAGGGCGGAGCGTCTGGAATGGTGCCCTCGCGTCAGCGCTCGATCACCCGCCAACACGCAATCACTGCGGCGGCCTCACCCTGTGCGCCCCATGCATCTTCGGCAAAGTCGAGCTCTACGACCTCGAGCTGCACGCCGCGCAGCTCGGCCTCGACGAGCCAGCGCAGCGCCGCCACGTCGCCGGGCGCATCGCGCGCGCGCAAGTCGCGGCGCGGGCGCGGCACCACGAGCTGCGCGCGCGCCGAGGGCGCAGGCAGGGGCGGGTGGCAGGCGGCGGCGGGGAAGACGTGCAGGGGGAAGGCGGAGAAGAGACGCGCGACAAAGTCGGGCACGGGCGGGAAGAAGGACATGCTGCGGGACAGGAGCGGAGATGGGGGAAGAGGAGGGAGGAGGAGCGAGAGTGCTCAGCACGCGAGGGAGTGGAGGCCATGCGTTGCTTACGTAAGGTGCACGCCCAGCACGGCCCTCGCCGCGCGCAGCCTTCCCCCACGCCTCGCATGCACTTGCACGCACATCTCTCGCGCGCCTTCGCTGCACTCTTGCTGAGGCGCCCTGGCGCGGTGACGCCCCACGCTGCCAGGGTGAGTGCAGACGATCGCAAGCCTGCATCTGGCAAGGCAAGGCCCATGCATGACGCAGCGGCGCGCGTCCTGCCTCCGACTGCCCTCAGAGCGTCTCAGCGGCGGCATGAGCCATGGCGTCTGTCATTCGCACGGGCCCGAGCCTTCTCCACGTCGGCGCCCTGCGTGAGGGCAGCTGCATCGCATGCCATTGTCCTTCTCTATCTCCTTGCATTTGGGGCTCGCTCTCGAGCAGCCACTTCTGCACGCCCGGCTGTGCGCGAGGCCGCCTTTACTTCTGCGCGTCCTTCTTGGCCTTGGCATCGAAGATGGCGCTGATGCTGTTCCACACGACGGCCTGGCTCTGCGCGGCATCGACGGGAGCTGCGGCCGGAGAGCGTCAGCGTGGTGAGCAAGTGAGACGCGCCAGCCCTTGCCACGCAGTGCTGCACCACGCGAGTCAGGCCCCTCACCCCAGATGCCCTTCTTGCGGTAGTAGCCCGTGACGCTGGCCGTCTGGGCGTGGTACGTGCCGAGGCGCTTCTTGAGCGTCTCTGCATTGTCGTCGGAGCGCTGCACCAGCGGCTCGCCCGTGACGTCGTCGGTCATGGCCTTCTTCGGCGGGCTGAACTCCTTGTGGTAGGAGCGGCCGCTGGCCGGGTGCACGAGGCGCCCCGTGATGCGGCTGATGAGCAGCGAGTCGTTGATCTTGAGCTCGATGGCGTGGTCGAGCTTCTGGTTCTTCGACGTGAGCATGCCGTCGAGCTTCTCGGCCTGCGGCGTCGTGCGCGGGAAGCCGTCGAGGATGAAGCTGGGGAGGTAGGGTCAGCCGAGCAGCAGCCAGATGGCACACGCGGGCGACGGCTGAGCGTCACGAGTCGCTGGCCATGCCGCACTGCACGGCACATGCCTGCCGGCCACCCTCCACGCACGTCCGTCACGCTGCACTCACCCGTTGGCGCACTGCTTGTTCTGCTCGAGCTGCTGCTCGATCATGCCCACCATGATCTCGTCGCTGACGAGGCCGCCCTGGTCCATGATCTTCTTTGCCTTCTTGCCGAGCTCCGTGCCCTGTGCGACCTGCTCGCGCAGCATGTCGCCCGTGGCGAGGTGGCAGACGTTGCCGTTGAAGCGCTGCAGGATCTTGGGTGCCTGCGTGCCCTTGCCGGCACCCGGCGGGCCGATGAGGATCATGCGCACGCCGTCGGCCGCGCCGCCCGTCGAGGGCAGCAGCGACGTGGCGGCCGACTCGAGCGCGCGGATCTTGCTCTGCAGCTGGGCGGCCAGGTCGCGCAGGTAGCTCAGCTCCGACGAGTCGCTGCCGCTGCTGTAGCTGCCCGGCGCGGCTGGCGGCAGGGTGGGGGTGAGCAGAGCACGGCGAGGCACAGCGCAGCCACGGGCACTCACGCGCATCGGGAGCGGCGGGCGTGCGTGCGGTGGTCGAGGTGGCCATGGTGTGTGCGGCGGCGGTGTGGATGGCGGTGGTGGTGGGAGCGCACGAGCGGCTGGAAGAAGCGGCGATCGGCAACCGCGCGGCGCAGTGGAGGCGTGGCCCGGCGATGCTCGAGCGGCGGCCGGCTCGGCGCGGACTTGGCTGCTGGGAGCGCCGGCCGTCGCCACGTGGCCGGAGGCGCATCGCGCACCGCCGTGCCGCGCCTGGCCCAGCCATCCTTGCCGTCGTGCAGCACTCCTCTCCACGCTCCCACACCAACCCCCACCTCACCATGACCGTCTTCACCAGCGTGCTCGGGTACGCCGGCCTCGGCTTCCTCACGCGCTGCTACGCCCTCGGCCTGCAGAAGCGCAACATCTTCGACGGTGCGTGGGCCGCCGAGGGCCGGCGCGTGGAAGCGAGGCGCAGGGCGGGCAGAGGCACGCGATGCGGCGAGCAGGCCTCGGGCGCAGGTGCGCTGGCGAGCATGGCTGAGGCGCGGCAGCACAGAGCGCAGGCAGCTCAGTAGTCTGCTGCTTCTGCGTCGCAGCCGCCAGCAGCATGCCAGCTGTGCCCGAGGCAACGGCGTGGGCCGAGGCGCTCGCTGCTTCTGTCGCAGCTCGCCGCTCGCAGCTCTACCTGCCGGGCCACACCTGCCATGCAGCCCGAGCTCCCGCGCTGACACGCTCCTCGCGCCACAGCCCTCGGCGGCCACGCCATGATGATCACCGCGTTCGGCGGCCTGGGCTACTACATGCACGGCCTCGAGGGCCGCCAGCTGGCCTATATTGCCGCCAAGAAGGAGCAGATCCAGCAGAACCGCGAGCGCGTCGCCGCGCGGCAGCAGGGCGGCGGCGAGGAGGAGGAGGAGTAGAGGAGAACGGGATGGGGGGAGATGGGAGGCAATGGAGATTCGATGCTTACGGGACGAGCAGAGAGGAACGCGCTTGGCGGAGGGCCTGACGGGCGGGCCGAAGGACCTGGCAACAGTGCGCGCGAGGCTTGCTCGTCTCCAGACTGGCTCGCGGCGGACACGGGAACGGGATGTGATGACGGGTGACGCGATGGATGTGGGGTATGGTATGGCGGGCTTGGGGGCGGCGCGATGCGCCACGCGGTGGATGGTGGAGCCGGGCGGATCAGTGGGTCATGTGGCTGAGGGCGGGAAATGCGCGGCGCGGTGGGGCCCGGCGGCGGGCCTCAGGCGCTCTCCATCTGGCGACGCTCGGCGGCCGCCAGCATCAGGCGGCGGCGCGAGTCGGCGGCAGCGCTGGCGGACGCAGCAGCGCTCGATGACGCCGCGGCAGGCGCGTATGTGGGCTGCTGAGAGGGCAATGCGTGTCAGCTCCAGCTGCCATCGGACCGGCGGGACATCGCTGCCACGGCGCACCTTCTCGGGCAAGAAGCACGCGAGCAGCTCGCGCACCGAGTTGATCTGCTCGCCGGGAGGGCCCTTCTTGCTGCGCGGGCCCGGCGTCGTGGCAGGCGCCGCCGCGCGCCCATCACTTGCAGCCACGCTGGCGGCGTCGGGGATCTCGGCGGAGCGGGCATTGGCGAGCACGTAGAGGCTCGTGCCGCGCGCGACTTGGGCGCTGCAGATGCGCTCTGTAGACACGCGGGTCAGCAGAGTTTGCGGACACAGCGGCAGGAGGCAGCGCACCTTCGACGGTGTCGATGGCCGAGTAGCAGCTGCGGGGCGCGTGTGAGCACCTAGGAGAGCAGGCCTCTGGGTCGCACTCACAAGACCGAGGTCGCTTGCGTCTGGCCGATGCGGTGCACGCGGCCGATGGCCTGCAGCTCGACGGCGTGGTTCACGAACGGTTCCTGGCGCGCAGGCGTCAGCACGGCATGCCACATTGCACCGTGCGCCAAGACTCACCAGCAGGATGACTACGCTGGCGCAGGTCAGGTTCAGTCCGGCAGACTGTGCCTCTGAATGCAGCAGCAGCACGTTCGTGTCGCGGCTGTTGCGGAAGGCGTCGACCTGGCGCGCCGCGACACGGCCGCCAGTGTCGACGCGCACGTGGCGCAGCGCCTGCGTCTTGAGCGCCTGCGAGACGAGGTCGAGGCCGCGCGAGAACGACGAGAAGACGATGAGCTTCGTGGCCGTCTGCGTCTGCGAGATGTGCAGCACGTGCTGCACCAGCAGCTGCAGCTTGGCGCCGTAGCGCGTCGAGAGGCGCACCGCCTCGATGTCCTCGCGCTCCTCGCGCTCCAGCAGGTTGTACAGCGGCTTGATCTCCAGCGGCGCAGCGGCATAGAGGTCAGACGAGGCGCTCTTGGACGCCCGACGAGCCTCTTCGTTGGCGGCGCGCGCCGCAGCCGCAGCCGCCTCCGTCACGGCCACGCGCGTCAGGTGGCGGCCGCGAGGCGTCACCTGCTGACAGACGTAGCACTTGCCGTGCATCGGCGGCTCGAGCGCCTTGAGGGCACATCTGTGCGGAATGCATTAGCACAAACACCGCTGAGCTGCTCAGCTCCGCACTCACGGCACGCAGAAGCGGTGGGCACAGTCGAGCAGGCACTGGATCTCCTTGTCCTCGTAGCAGATCGTGCACATGATCTCGGGCGCGGCGTCCATGTTCGTCAGGTAGCGCGAGCGTGACTCGAGGCGGCCGAGCTCCTGGCGCATCTGCTCGGCCTCCTTCTTGAGGATCGCGCTGCCGGGCACAATCCGTCAGCGATGTGACACGACGTGCGCGCATGCCACTCACCGATCGATCTCGTAGCTCTTGCGCACGACCTCATCTCGAGCCGTGTCGCTGATGCTCTGCAGGCGGCGGAAGTACGTGGAGCGGGCGTTGAAGAGACGCGCCAGCACGAGCTGCTCGCGGCGCAGCTTCTCCAGGTCGTTTTGTGCCTTGCGCTGCATGTCACGCGCATCGCCAAGGCCACGGCGTGCGATGGCCATCTCCTCGTCGCGGTCGCAGCGGGCGATCACATCGCGCAGTGCCTGGACGATGGCGACGATGGGCCGCTCGCTGCCGAGGCCCACCTTCTGCCGCTCCTTGTTGAGCGTGCGGAACAGCTTGAGCTGCGTCTGCAGCGTCTGCAGCTGGTCGCCGTCGAGCAGGTCGTCCTTGAACTCGCTGTTCTTGTCGTCGCCGACGAGCAGGCGCAGGCGCTTCTGCTCGTTGACCTGCCGCTCGAGCTGGACGAACAAGTTGGGCTTGCTTGTGGCACCCGTTGCCAGTGCACCTGCGGGTAGGAAGGGCTGTCAGCGCAGCCGTGGCAGAAGGCTCGGCGCACTCACCAGACACGATGGCCTCACGCTCGGCCAGCAGCACGCGGTACATCTCCAGGAGCGTCTCCGCCTCGCTCTGAGCCTCGAGTGCCTCTGCGTACTGGTCGTCGTTCTCGTCGTTGAGGTCCACCTCTCGGTTGACGGGCCGCAGGATCTGGTCGATGATGCGCTTGCGCCACGCAACCACCACAGCCGCATTGGCGTCCAGCAGCCCCGCAAGCGTCTGCAGCGACGTGAACTCGACGAAGCTCATGATGCCTCCGTTGCCAAACTGCTGCTCGACGGCGAGTACGGGCGCGGCCGCTGTCTTGACCGGAGCGGCGCCGCGCTCGACGTCGTCGAGGCTCTCCTTGAGCAGCTCCTGGCGCACGGACTCTGCAGCAGCGTATGCCTCGTCCTCCTGCGCCTTGTGCGGCGACACAGCGGCAGCGGCGGGCGCCTCCTCGACCATCGGTGCCAGCGCTGCTGTTGCCGCCGCCTGCGCCGCCGCGAAGTCGCGCTCGCCCATGCGGAAGTAGACGTTGCCGAGCCACGCGTACGTGCGGTGCAGCTGCTCGAGGTGCAGGCGCAGGCGCAAGCTGATGGCGCCGGTGTGCGCCGCGCGCGCTCTGAGCTTGTCGCGACGCTGGAGCGCCTGCTCACCGTCGATCTGTCGGCCATCGGTGCCGTCGCTGTCGCGCAGGAGGTCCTCGTCGCCCTCGGCTGCGGCCGCCTCGACGCTCGTGAAGCGGTAGAGCGGACCAGACTTGTGCGCAACGGCAAGCGCCTGTCTCATCTCGCCGATGCGCACCTCCAGGCCGGCGCGGAGCCGGACGAGCTCGTCCCGCGCTTCTTCGTAGACGGGCTCTGCGCGAGGCTTGGGGCTCTGGATGAGCAACAGAGCAGCGCTGATCTCCTTTGTCTTGAGGCTGAGGAAGTGCGAGTCGCGAGCGGCGACTGCGTCCTCGCGCATGCGGTCCAGCACGTCCTGCATCGACTGGATCGTGTTGGTCGCAATTCCGCGCCCCGCCTTTGCAGTGACCGAGCGGTCCGTGACCTGCGGGTGCGTGCATGCCTGACGCAGAAGCGAAAGGTGAGCGCGCAGCTTGTTGATCTGTGCGCTGCGAGTCAGCCATGGTGCGCAGAGCCAGGCCCGGTGCAACTTACGTCAGGTGGCGTCTGGCGCAGCGCGCCGTTCTCGCCGACGGCCGACAGCTTGTGGCTCTGTCCGCTGAGGTTCAGATCGGACAGGGCCGCGGTCCAGAGCTCCTCGTAGAACGTGCGCTGGACAGGGCCGAGCTCGACCGGCAGCATGTAGCGCGTCTGCTGCGGCAGCGTCGTTTCGCCGCGCACCTGCGCCTTTGTGTTGCGCGTGGCGAGCGTGCCGAGGACGCGCTCGAGAGTCGGCGCGAGCTCCGGCGTGAGCAGGCGCTTGAAGGCAACAGGCGTGTCGTACGGGCCGAGAACGCGGAGGAAGCGGAAGAGCGAGCGCAGATCGTCGAGGCGCGTGACAGGCGTGCCAGACACGGCGATCGACGAGCTACGCTCGATCATCGACACGGTCTCGGCGGCCATGGAGTTGCCGACCAGCTGCACCTCGTCCATCACCACGCGGTGGTACGCGAGCTGGACCAAGAGACTGCGCGGGCGCTCGTAGCGGCGCTCGAAGCGGCGCTCACGCTCGCGCTCTGGCTTGGCGACGCGAAGCTGAGCAGAAGTAACAGTCGGTCAGCAGAGGGCGCAGGCGATGCCAGGCAAGCCACTCACCTCAGACTTCAGCGTCTCGTATGACGCAACGATGACATGAAACTTGCGAGCGAACTCGGTCCAGGTCGTGCCCTTGGGTACCGCCTTGCCCGCCTGCAGGTGGTTGACGTAGTTGAACACGGTCAGGTCGGGCGCGTGCGTCTGAGCCTCGTCGATCCACTGCTGCCGGAGGAGCTCGGGGCCTGCACCACGATTCAGCCAGTGATTGGCGCAGCGTTGCGTCGCAGCTGCACTCACAGACGATCAGGGTGGTGCGCGCATGCGTCACGTCGAGCTTGAGCGTGTCGCTGTAGAACGACATGGGGTTGTCGATCACGTCCGAAGCGCATGGGTTCAGCAGGATGAGCGCGAAGATCTCGACAGTCTGGCGCGGAGTAGGGCGTCAGCGTGCTGCTCAAGGACGCGCTTCGCACGCATCAGCGCACCTTGCCAAGTCCCATCTCCTCGGCAAGAATGCCGCCGCGGATGTTGAAGCGCGCAGCGTCCGCATCTTGTGTGAACATGCCGGCGAAAGCGTTGAAGAACAGCGGAGAGGACGCAGAGGCTACCGTCTCCCACCAAAGGCCAGTGGCCATCTCGCCGCGCGCGCCCATGATGCCGGAGGTCGGAACGAGGGCCGAGCGCCCTTCCGCCGGCGGTGGCGCATCGGGCTGCGCCAGCTGAACGCCTTCGCGGCCGAGGAGGAAGTTGACGGAGCGGCGCTGGAACGGCATGAGTGTCGGCTCCAGCTGCACGGGCTGCAGGCCGGCGCCTGCGGGCAGCGTCGAGGCATGCAGGCTTGCGTAGACGAAGCGCTCGCTGAGCTGCTGTCCGCAGCGATGGCGCGCTGCCTCGCGTGCAGCCGACGGCGAGGCGAAGCGTACAAGTGCGTTGAGGTCGCTCGCTGCCGCTCCCTGAGCTGGCTCAAAGGCGGCTGGCAGCAGCGCCACAGCCACGTGCAGCTCCAGAATGAGCTCTCCAGAGGTGCGCGTTGGGCCGGCCGTGCTGAAGCGCAGTTGCAGCTCGGTTTGCAGCTCGATGTGCGTGTCGCGAAGGCGAAGCGCAGCCGGCAGCCACGGGCCATTCGTCCAGCTGTGCCGGCCACGCTCGATGGACGCGCCAGGCAAGTCGATGAGAGGAACAGTAGCGATGCTGTCGCCCTGCGCAGTCAACAGGCGGTACGGCTGCACGATGACGGGCGTGCCAGCCGTGTCGCTGCCGTCATCCGGAGCGGGCACGGGCTCCATCGAGACGCTTCCGAGGGAGAGACTGTCGCGGAGCTTGTCGCACTCGCCCGGCGACATCTGTGCCTGTGTCGGCTCGAGCCGGAAAGAAAGCATAGTCGAGAACCACGGAAGCGGAGACTGGGACTGGTAGACGCCCATGTCCGGTGACAACGATTGCTCGCGCTTCAGCCTCTTCGCGGGCGCCTGGCGCACGTCCGCCTCGGCCAGGAAAAGGCTGCGCTTGCCTTGTTGGGCTGACTGCGCTTCCATGGCGTGCGACATCGATCCGCTCAAAGCATCTGCAGCAATGCGCTCTCCCGCCAGCGAAGGCGACGTCTTCACGTGCACCTGTGCTGCAGCGTCGAGTGCGCGCCACATCGCGTGCAGATCCACAAGAGCAGACCACTCGCAGAACGCCAGCTCGTCCATCTCCACTCGCACGGGCGACGATCCAGAGACCGTTGGCGCCTCATGAAGCGTCTGTAGCGGCGTCACCAGAGCATTCTTCCGCGTGTGCTCGGCGTCGGCTGCCAGCTCCAGCGCCTTGCCTTTGCCCTTGTCGCCAGAGGCGGGTGCCGGCGGCGCCGCGGCCGGAGCGCTGCCGCTGGCAGCAGCAGGAGCGGAGTGCGGCGCAAGGTTGCTCGGTCCTGCACCCTCGGGAGCCACGACCTGCGCAGGCGGCCCACGACGCACTGCTGCCGTCTTCTTCATGCGCGCCATGGCGGCGCGAAGTGGAGGTGCGAGGGGCGGCCGGCTGCGAGCAGCAGGCCTGCTCGACGCAAGAGGCGGAGCAGACAGGCGGCGGACTGCAGAGGGCACAGTCGCTCAGCGCTGCGTGTTGCGCTCGAGTGCGCGGACGACGGGTGCGACGTAGAGCGGCGGGGCGGAGGGGATGGTGGGAGATGAGAAGGACGGAGCGGTGGCGCGCGAGGCTGAGCGCGTAAAGTGCATTTCATTTAGAGCCAAGCCCGTTGTAGTTGCCGTGGTCGCGAATACAACTTTGCTGCGCGTGAGCACGGGCCACGCTGATGCTTGTCCTGGGCTCTGCCTGTGCTAGGCCCGCTCTGGCCTCTCACCACCATTCAGATTTCGATCCGACGCCTGCCTCAGCACTGCGCACCACTGTCCAGCACCTCTATCACTCTCATCACTCTTCTCGATCTACATCTCTCGCACACAGCAGCTCGCTCCTCACTGCCAGCAGTCTCAGCGTCATGTCTGCCGGCCCAAGCGGCTCGTCGGCCGCGGCCAGCTCCTCGAGCGAGGCGCTCGTCGGCGAGGAGCATTGCTACTACTGCTTCGACGTGCTTGAGGCGGCTCTGAAGCGAGCATCTCCGCCCAAGCCTCGCTTTGTGCCGGGCGACGACTCGTGAGTGCAGCAGCGGCGAGGCAGATGCAGCGCAGAGGAGCAGTCGTCTGGCCAGCCGTTGTCTGGGCGACGAGCTGATGAAGAGCATGCAACGTAGGCCGCTGTTCGTGACGTGGAACACCATCAGTGCAAAAGGTGATCGACGGCTACGCGGCTGCATCGGCACGTTCGGTCCTGTTCCGCTCGAGTCTGGCCTGGCAGACTACGCCAAGACGAGGTGAGTGACGAGCGAGCTGGCCTTGGCGCGCTCGCTGCCGAGGCTCATGTGTGCTGCCAGTGCGTTCAAGGATCATCGTTTCAGCCCCATCACAGAGCGCGAGCTTGCATCTCTCGAATGCGGGTGAGCAGAGGTGGACGTCCTCTTCGCGACGCGAGGCTTACACATGCACCGCAGCATTTCGCTGCTCACGCCCTTTGAGCCGTGTGCAGACTACACAGACTGGACCATCGGCGAGCACGGCATCTACATCCACGTGCCAAGCAGCAGCGGACGCTGGCTGACAGCCACGTATCTGCCCGACGTGATCCCCGAGCAAGGTTGGAGCAAGCGCGAGGCCGTCGACAGTGCCATTCGCAAGGCGGGCCACACGGGCAGCATCGATGAGGCACTGCGCAGGCGCCTAAAGGTGGAGCGCTACCGCAGCGAGAAGTGCTCGCGCACCTACGAGCAGTGGCGTGCGGCACGGGCCTGAAGGACTCTCGCTGCTTGCTTCGATTCATGTCATGACATTTGCTCATTCAGCGTCCGTGAGGTCCGCTGCCCGGCGCCTGGCCCTTGGACTCGGGCTGGTTCTGCGCGGGCGCGTGCTCGGCCGGCTTGGAGCTGGCGGCCGTCTTGGACATGTCGGCGCCAGGCTTCTGCAGGTTGCGAGAGGGAGCATCAGCAGACTGCGTCTCTGCATAGTCTGAAAGTGGGGCAACTCGCCTCCTGCTCGATCTTCTTGCCGCTCTGCTGCGGACGCGGCTTGTCGCCGTCGTATGCGCCCTCGGACGAGGCGATGTCGTCGACCTGGTGCGCAGCAGCATGTCCAGTCAGCCAATCTGCAGACCTGCGCTCGATCATCCATGCCTCTCGTCGCTGCACACTCACGCTGGCCGAGCCAGGCGTGCCCGTCTCCGTCGGGCCCTGGTCCATGCCCTGACCGCCCTTGCCCGACGAGCGCGCCATGGCGCTGCTGGTGAAGTTGCGCGCCAGAGGCGAGGGCGTGGCGCGCGAGACGAGGCGCAGCGAGGCGAGCATGGCGCTGAACGATGGCTTGAGGGTGCTGGTGAGGTGAGAGGCGGAGAGAAGGCGAGGTGTGGCGCTGTCGAGGCGGAGTTGAGAGTTGGGAGAGCGGAGCGAGGAGCAGCGAGGCTTGCAAGCGTGGGGTCAGATGAGCGGCGCAACGTCAAGGCGAGGACCCTGCATGTGGAGGCGCACCACGTGTTGGACGGAGGCGCGTCATCTCGAAAGGCGCGATCACCTGCCAGGCGTCGCGTCCTCCAGCCTTCGCCGCTCACGGCTCCTCGAAGCTCACGGCACGCACAGCAGGGTGGGATAGAAGGGATGGAATTGCGCGACAGTCGCGAGACGAGGTGGCTCTTAGCATCGATAGACGAGACGAGGGCTGGGGATGGGAGGGTGTGCGAGTGCTTCAGGTCGCGAGCGCAGGACGCGCGACGACTAGTCACACTGCACAGGTGGGAGGAGGGGCGAGAGAGCAGGACCACGAGCGGGGAGAAGATCGTACGAGGAGCTGGGGGCGGGGGTAAAGACGAGGCGATCTCGTCGCACGGCAAAATACGTCGACTGGGCGAGGGTATAGAGGGATGACGCGCCAGCTTGGTGCTTCGACAGCCGTGCGAGAGGGGGTGTCTGTGGGTGGGGTCGGGTAGTTCGAAGCCGCCGCACAGCAGGCATGTCACCTGTGCGCCACGGCCCGACGGGGGTACTGGAGGATCTCTATCGGGAGCGAGACATTACTGCGCGAGCACGAGACACGGTGGTGGGCCGCAGTGCAGGCGCTTAGGCAGCGGCCGTGACGGGCGTGGCAGCGCTGTGGTGTGCAGACGTGTGAGCTTGGACGGATGAAGAAGCTCGGACGCGGTCACTCACGCCGGAGCAGCCTGGATCGGCTCGGGCACCTTCTCCGAGACGATGGGCGACTCCTCGGCGGCAGGCGCGGCGTCGACGACGGGCGCAGCCTCGGCAGCCGGGGCGGCCTCCTCGGGCTTGTCCTCAGCAGCGACGGGCTTCGACTCTGCCAGATGAGGAGAGCGTCAGTCGACAAGTCCACGGTACAACGCAGACGACACTCACCCTCCGAGGGCTGCTTCTTGGACTTGAAGAGCGCACCGACGCGCATCGACAGGCGGCGGCCGACCTTCTCCTTGGCGGGCGCAGCGGCGTCGGGCTTGGCAGCCTCGTCGATCTTGACGGCTGCCGGCTCGGCAGCAGCGTCGTCCTTGGCGGCCTCGGGCTCGGCGATGGCGCCGGCGGGCGTGCCGTCGGTGGCGATGGGAGCAGCCTCCTCGGCCTTGACGGCCTCGACCGGCGCGCTCTCCTCGGCAGCCGGAGCACCGCTGACGGCGACGGGCGCGGCCTCCTCGACCGGGGCAGCCTCAGCGGGCGCAGCCTCCTCGGTGACGGCGGGCGTCGCCTGAGCCTCGGGCTGCTCCTTCTTGGGGCTGAAGGCGGCGAATGAGCACGGCAGCCGAACGCACGGTGACGGAGGCCGACTCACCTCTTCTCCTTCTTGCCGAGGAAGCTGCCGAACAGCTTGTTGACGAGCGACTGGCGCTTCTCCTTCTTGGGCGTGGCAGGCTGTAGCAAGAGTGTCAGCTTGAGGATGTCGCGGCATGGTGAAACGACTCACGGCAGCCTCCTCCGTAGCGGCGGCAGCCTCGGTGGGCTCGGCGGCAGCGACCGGCTCAGTAGCGGCAGCAGCGGGAGTCTCCTCAGCGACGGCAGGCGCCTCGGCCGGAGCCGGAGCCTCCTCGACGGCGGCGGGCGCCTCGGCCGGAGCCGGAGCCTCCTCGACGGCGGCAGGGACCTCGGCCGGAGCCGGAGTCTCGGCGACGACGGGCGTCTCGACGGGTGCGTCGACGGCGGGCGTGGTGTTCTCGACGGCGGCGGACATGGTGTGGTGTGGTAGGGGTGCTGAGTGAAGGAGGTGTGAGCTGGAGCAGACGCGATAAGCGCTGGAGCGATGCGGCGAGAGCGCGCGTGTCATGCGCCGCTGCGGCACGCGTTCCTCGGGCCGCGCGCCTCGCCAGCCGGCGTGAAAAGCACGACATGGCACGGCGCACTTTGCCGCAGCGGCGGCGGGCCGTCGACGGCGACGCTGCAGCAAGTGAGCAGCACGAGCAGGCCCGACAGCGGCCAGCGTCGCCATCGCAGGCAGGCCCTGCCGTGCTGCTCGCAAGTCGCCGTGCGGCCGCGAGGGCCTGCAGCCGAGACCAACACTTGGACCCGTTTGGGCCGAGGCGTTGGCGCTCCGCTCCGCCGTGTACCACAGCAGCGGACGCGCGCGCCACTTTTCAGCAGCAGCGCGGCGCCGAGGGCGAGCACAGGGCAGGCCGCCAGGTGCGACGCTGCGCAGATCATCGACGGCCGAGCGACGGTGGCGAGCAGATGCGCAGCACACCGAGCGATAAGGCCCAGCACAGGCGCAGCGGCACGAAGTCACGCTACAGGCTCGGCAGGCTACTCACGTGGGTGGAAGGGCGGGACGAGGGTCAGGGAGAGCGGTAGCGAGAGGCGAGAGAGCGGGAGAGAGAAGAGGTGGTGGTGGTCGAGAGGCAAGCTGGCGAGGGCATGAAGAGTTCGATTGCGCAGCAGAGCGAGCGGGCCGCAGAGCGACAAAACAGGGCAGGCAGGTGCAGGCCGGCAGCGCTGCAGCTCGGCTGCGCTGCGGCACAGGGGCTGCACCGCCCACCGCCCTCTCGCCTCTCCGCACCGTGCATGGCACAGAGGCGAAGCGGCCGCTCGACTAGGCAGGGCAGCAAGGCAGCGCTCGCCTCTTCGGGACGCTGCTGCGGCTGCGGCAGGCAGAACAAGGAGCGTTCGCAGCGCGCCTTCGGCCGCAGCACGCAGCAGTGCGCCTGGCGCGCAGGAGAGGAGGCGAGCGCAGCAAGGCACCGCCGCGAAAGGGGCGTTTTGCCGCGAGGCGCAGCGGCAGCGGAGCTAGCACGCCGCCTGCGCCGCGCCGCGCACGCCGCACAGCGCCTCATCCCGCTGCAGAGTTCTGCTGCACGGGTCCGCCCATCGCTGCGGCCACAGCATGGCACGCACCGCACAGACGCCACCGCCGCAGCAGCGGGCGGAGAGAGGGGCGCTCGGGCGTGGGCGAGGGCGCTGATGGAGCGGGCACGGCGTGACTTGACGCCGCCGCGCTCGGGCCGCGCTCTCGCGTCCCCTCTCTTGTCTTGCTGCGGCGCCGAGAAGAGAAGCGGTCCAAGCGTCGGCGTCGCCGCCTGCCGCTGCTCGGGTTGGCGTCTGCTGCGGCTGAGCGGCTGCGTGCCGCACTCACCGCTCACGCCCTCGCAAGGAGCAAGAAGCTGCGAGACGCCACACATGCTGCGTCGCGAGCTGCGGCACCGGCTGCACTGCTGCGAGGCCGCAACGCTGCGGCACGCAAGGGGCCGACGGCGACCAGGCTGAGGCGTGAGATGGCGCATCAGCCAATCGCAGCCACCAGCCGGTCCTGCCGAGCGTCGCTATGAGGCTGCTGCGGCAACCTGCTTCGAGCGGCTGCGAGGAGACTGCGTTTGGCATGCGCAGCGCAAGGCCAGCACCAGGCGCCGCTGCGGTGCGGCCTCTTCGCCTCTGCAGCCCCTTGTGCTCGAGGCTGCTGCTGCTGCGGCGCTCACACGCCCGCCGCGCCAACTCCTGCGGCGCCATGCACGGCGGCGATCCTCGGCGTTGGCCCGCACGCGAGATCTGCTGCGGCGCGTCGGAGCGATAGCGGCGCCGCACCGGCGGCACGCATTCTGCCGCAGCGGCGTCGCGCCGCCGTCGCCTGAAAGCGCAGCTTGGGCTGCACGCTGCACCTCGAGGCGGCGGCATCGTCTGCACGACTCGCCGAGCGACGGACTGGAGCATCGCGCTGTACCACAATCATCAAGTCGGCAGCGTGCTGCTCCCACCTTAGCGCCGCGACGTCGAGCCCGCCAGGCAGCGCCGGACGCTCAGCAGGGTGCCAAGCACGCGCAGGCCACGCAGGAGACGTGGGTCGCAGGCTCTGCTTTCCAGCGAGCAGTTCAAGCAGCATGCGGCTATAGCTTGCACAGCTGTGCAGGTGACGACTGAGGATGCAAGAGCAGTAGCAGCCGCGTCACGAGCTATACGCCTCTCGCCGCGACTCAAGGATGTGTGCGCAGCACGGCCAGCGTGTATTGCGACGTCGCGATCGGCCGTAGAGTCCCGTTCAAAGAGCGTCCGAAGCATGTGAGTGGCACCGAAGAGCCGGCGAGAGGGCCTGGAAGCGCTCGAGACTAGGTCTCGGGGTTGCGCTGCCGTCCATGACGCTCGCTACGTGACTGCGTGCTCGGCGACCTAGGCGTGCACCTCGGCGCGCTGCTGCGCGCCCGGCATGGCCGAGCTTGACTGGGCGCCCGCTTCCCGGTCGCGCAGCGTGCGGAGTACCTTGAGTCCGAAGGCGACAAAGGCCGGGTCTTCGGCGACGCCTCTGTGCTCGCCCGTCAGCGCTTTTGGCGGCCCGCTCTCAGCTGCGGAAGGGCACTCACTGGCGCCCAGACGACTTGCCCGCCGCCATCCCGGCAAGAGCGTCTCCGAGAGAGGACGAGCGTACTCGAGCTCTGACGCCGCCGGATGACTGTAGCTTGAGAGCGGCATCGACGGGCGGGCGCGCCGCAAGCTGCAGCTTGAGCGTCGCGTTCTCCCTACGCAGCTCATCGACCGTCTGCGCCTGACACTGGATGTACTCGGCCTGCAGCTCGAGCTGCTGCATCTTCATGGCCAGCACCTGCGCATTCACGGCGCTGCACTGCGTCGTCACGTCGAGGAGCTCTTCGAGCTCGGCGACGCGGCACGCAAGTTCTTGCGAGAGCAGCAGCTCGGCCGTGATCGGCGTTGTGGGCGTGGATGACTTCTCCATCTGCAAGATGCAGAGAGAGGGTGTGGGTGGTGAGGTAGATGGGTTGGGGAGTCGAGAGCTGTGGGATATATTGAGGCAGGGAGGCGGCCCAGGCACGCGACGTGCACAGACCACCTCTCGCAGACCTTCTGACCTGTCATGCGCCGCGACAAAGGAACGATTCTTGCCTCACTGCAGTGCACGGTGCGACGGCGAGTAGGATGTGATGCACGGACAGCGAAGAGCTGACGGACGACTCGGGCTGCAGCAAAGCTCGCACCCGGTGCGTGGCAGGCTTCTCCGCGGCCTCACACGTCGCGGAAGTCAAGGCGCACGTCACACGACAGAGCTCACTGCATTGAAACGACAGTGAAGTGAGGCGTGTGTGAAGCTACTGAACGCGGACTGTCGAGGCGAGAATGACTGGATGGTGCGGGAGTGACGGTGACTTGCGGTGCGAAGCTGCGAGGCGCTTGCTCGAGCGAGGGGAGCCGGGGCCTTGCGTGTGGACTGACGCAGAGTTGAGAGGTCAGCGAGCGATTCGTTGACAGAGCTGCTGAGGAGAACGCTTGTCCATGCGCCTGTGCGGCTGATCGAGCGCATACAGGCGACAAAACGTCTCTCCACTGCTCAAGGGCTCTACACTCACAACGACGACTCGAGCGGGCCCGCTTCTCTGTCCGCCAAGGCCCTACGTCGCGCGAGCAGGCGCGACCGCCGCACGAGTGCAACGGGTACGCACGGCGCCGAGCACGACGCCGCGCATGACGGCCCAGTTGCGGCGCTGGCGCGTGCTCATGATCGCCTCAAAGTCGTCGAGGATGAGCTCGAGCGCCTCCTCCATCGTGTACGGGGGCACGCCGAGGCGCGCGGCGCCCTCGAGGCAGTACTCGACGAGCTCGCGCATGCTGATGACGCGGCCGTGGATCTGGAAGCGTGCGTCGTCGTCCGTCTGGTTGTTCGGCATGGCGTCGTTCAGGTCAGAGCGCTTGGCGATGAACTCGACGCCGCCCGGGCGCTCGACGAGCTCGCGCGCCGTGGTGCGCATGCCGCAAGGCAGAATGAGCGGCGCATCCCAGTGCGCAGCGATGACCTTGCGCAGCTTGCCCGTCTCGGGGTGCACGAGGATCGCCGGCTGCTCGTTGGTGAGCATGACCATGTGCTCGCTGCCCAGCTGGCTGCCCTCGAGCTCGCCCACGGCCACGGGGCGCGCCTGCTCGTTCTGCGGCGCGGCGGCGCGCGGCTCCGGCACGCCCGCCGGCGGCAGGTCCTTGACGCGCGGCTGAGGCAGCACCATGATGCGCGGGGGATGGTAGGCGACGAGCACGACCATGGCGGCGGTGCGGGAGGAGGCGAGGGTTGGGTGGTGCTTGGCGATGGGCACGGCGCGGCGAGATGAACGTGGTGGGTGAGAAGGAAGCGGCAGGCCGCGCCGGGCAGCGCTGGACAGCGTCACGCCTCTCACCCCTGACTTGCCGCAGCTGCGAGGCTCTGACAAGGCCGCGATAGACGCAGAGGCGAGAGCGTGTAAAGTGCGGCGGCGGCGACGCGCCCCTCGCAACACGCGACGCGCGCCGAGCGCGAGTCCGCGCTGCCGTCGTCGAGCAAGCGCGCAGCGAGCCACCTTGCGGAGTGTTCTGACCTTCGCCTCGCATGACGAAGCTTTCCAGCTGCGATGTACCTGCTTCTTGTTCTGAACCAGCCTGTCCAGTCGAAGCATCGCTTTCCCGCTCTCCAGTGCTTAGGCTCAGCGGACCGGTGCTCTTGTCCTGACGCGAGTCATCAGTGCACAAACGCATCGCAGAGCTCTCCGCAGAACCGATCTGCTTCCCCTCGTATCATCTTGCTGCTCTCTCAAGTAGGCATTCGTCTGGATTCTACAACATGCGCTCGCCAGATGCGCCGTCTACGCAGCAAGTCTACCCCTGCCTCAGTGAAAGTCAGGTTTTGAAATTGCTGGGGCGGTAGATATGAAGAGGATAGTAGATAGGGCATGCGGCAATCGTTGGACACGTTGTAGCGCACCACAAAGTGGTTGAGCGACGAAGAGGTGGTCAAAGGGGTGGGAACGGCCTGTACGGCATGAACAGGTAGGAGAGCGGGAGGAGCAGACGACGCAGCGGGTAGGAGAAGCTCTGACCGGACACTGCGTGGACGGGCTGATGGAGGACTGTCTTGTGTCAGTGGCAGCCTTGTGGAAGAGTTGCGAGACATGCTCTTCCATCCTTCCGCCAGAGAGTCCAGCACGACTCAGGAAAAGCGCGACTGCAAGCCTGTAGGGCGCAGCGGCGACAGGACGACGTGCATGCACTGCTTGAGCGGCAGAAGGCCGCTTTCCTCACCGCTCACGACGCCAAGCTCAACACTCACAAGAGAGTCGCGGAGAAGACAACCTCTCCTTCCTGGAGCGATCGGCGGAGGTCCTGTCCGACGCCAGAGTCTAGCTCGTCGTGCCCGAAGTCGAGGCCGCTGAGCTTGTGGAGCGGTCGTTGGCACGACGATACTCTCTGACCGCATCCGCGCACATGGCCTTCCAGACGAGGCGTTGACGCGAGCTCATGCAGTTCTCGTAGTCTTTGAAGATGATGCACATGTTTGAGACGACCGTCTTGGTGTCGAAGCTGGGCCCGGCAAGGTTGGCAGCGTTGACGCCGCAGTACTTCAGGAGCTCGTCAAGGCTGAGCTTGCGGCCAAAATGATAGAAATTGGCGTCGAGATCATCAGGATTGACGAACTGTGCCTCCGTCGCCGGTGCCATCCAGTTCAAGTTCTTGCTCATCATGAGCCCGAGCGTCGTCGTGACGCTGCCGTCGGGGAGGATGAGCTGAGTGTCGAGGGCGGGCGCGGAGATGCGCAGCCAGGCGCCACTGACTGGCTCGTAGCGAATGATGGGCAGGTGGTCACGATGTAGCTCCATGAGATTTGTGCGTACTCCTTGGTGAAGGACGGGATGTTCCAGGCCTCTAGGATGAATGCTGTGCTCGATGCTGACACAGGCCACATGACGCGGCTCCTTGCTGAGCGCAGCCAGAGACGCGCGCGTTGGAGGAAGCCTGACCATAGTCAAGGGCAGATGGAAATCCAGTCCTTCGGGCATCGTAATGGAGCATTTTGCTGAGGATGCGAGGAAGAAGAGGGCGAGCGAGTGTGCGCGCGCGCGAACGAGGGGATGTGGTGGGCAAGAGTCAGACTTCATCAGCGGCGGCCGGCGGCCGACATGTCTACCGCTCGGGCCTCCAAGCAGCCCATTGATGAGGCTGCGACACGCAAAGGAGCAGGCCCCACATCAATGCTATCACACCCGAGCTGCTGCGACACGTGCGCTGTATATGCCCGCGCCCGCTCCTTTGTCCTCGCGGCGCAAGCCCCTCCTTTGTCCTCGCGATATAGGCCGCGCGCGAGCACAAGGAGCGCTGTGAGACGCTCCGCACACCAACTCCGCGCCAATTTGCTCTCGACTCATGGGCCAGCCGTGTCTGAGAATGTACAGCGTCGTTCAGAGCGTGAGTGTGTGTGGTGCGGACAAAGATGACAGGTGGTGCGTGGCGATGACGGAGCGATGTGCTTTCGATGCTCGAGCGACAGAGGCGGGCGAGAGTAGACGGAAATGGACGACTTGCGGAGCGGCAGATGCAGACATGATGTACCAAAGGGTGCGTGAGCTAAAAGGGCGAGTGACATATGTCAGCGGCGGCGAGTCGAGAACAGAGCGATGCGGGCTCATCCATCCACCGAACACCGCGGGACCCGTGCGACCCGCCTAAGGACTACCTGCACATTGACAAAGCAACGTCCCTTCCACTGCTTGACAAGAGAGAAACTCACGTTCAACGCGCGGTTGCGATGCCCGGGCCGGAGCCGAAGCGAACGGCAACCATCAGGTCGAGCACGCGACGCACGTCAGTCCACGCAGGACGCTGACGCGAGCTCATGGCGGCGCTCATGTAGTCGCAGATGGCCTTGAGAGCCGAGCGGACGTTGTGCAGCGGGACACCGAGGAAGATGGCGTTCTCCAGGCAGTACTCGCCGAGCTCCATGAGCGAGATGATGCGCCCCTCGATCTGGAAGCGAGCATCGGCATCATTCTCGTTGAGCGTCGTGTCGACCGACGACCAGTTGGTCGAGGCCGTCGAGATGAATTCGACGTCGAGGCGCTCGCCGACTTCGCGCACCGTCGTGTGCGTGCCGTCCGGAAGAATGATCTCCATGTCGCGGCTGTCCGCGACGACCTTGCGGATCGTGCCCGTGCTCGGATCCTGGATGATCGTTGGAGTGTCGCTGAGGAGCACCTCGTTGGAGAGGCGCGTCGCCACTGCCACGCGGACAGGGCCGTCGTGCTGGCGCGGCGGCGTTGTGCGCTGGAGCGGCAGCGCCGTCAGCACGGGCGGGAGGTAGATCACGAAGTCCTCGGACATCGTCGCGCACTGTGCGTGGAGACGCAGGTAGCGGAGCGGAGAGGGCGGGCGGCGTGCAGGAGTGGAGAGGGCGGGCAGCGTGCACGCTGGATAGTGTGCGTGTTGGTGGCGGGACGCCAGGAGCGAGCAGTACGGGCGTCGTCCGGCAGCGAAAGTCATCCGGTATGGACAGGCGCTGCGCGCTCTCACCAGGCCTTGGCAAAGACGGCAGCGAGGCGGCGCTGCTGTGACAACTAGCCGAGAGCGCGTAAAGTGCTGCTGCGGCACATCACAACACGCCGCGCGTTTTCATCGTCGTCGAGCGGGCGTCCGGCGAGCTGCGCTTCCTAGTCTTCGTCCATGCTCCACGAGCTAAGGCTGAGATCTTCGACGTACTGCTCTGCGGACAGAGAAGCAGCGAGCAAAAGAGAGAACCGCTGCAAGCGTCGTCTCGCGTCCGAGCTATGCGGAGGCATCGGCGCAAGTGCGCCTGTGCTGCACACTCCCGAACTGCTACGGCGGCCTCGCTGGCTTGCGCATCGTGAAGGTGAGGCGCGCTGTCTCAGCTGTTCTCCGTGGTACTCTCGCGCTGCGCCAGTGTTGCGAAATGCTCGGCTTCCGAGCAGTAAGAGTGGTCACACGCTGACAGGGATCTCATGTGGCATTACGAGGTTCAAGGCCGCCGCCGACTGCGCTCGTGCGCAAGTCGGGCGGCTTGGCTGCTGGAAGAGAGGCTCTAACTGAATATGTAGTGATCTGAGGCTTGAAGGAGGACAGTGACGACGTGACGGATGGAGAGGATATGGGTCTGTGACGGAGACTGGGCGCTGCGTCAGCGATCGGATAGGGCCTACGCCTCTTGGGTGCACACAGCACGAACGTCACGGTATCGCGGGAGAGTCTGACCACCCCTTGCACCCAATCACACGCAGATGACAGCACTCACAATAGAGAGACTCGAAGCTGGATGCGTCTGCGAGACTTGGCCGCGAGCTCAGGCGGCGATCCCGTGCTCCTCGCGCAGCGAGCCAAGGGAGCTGCGCGAGCCGTCCGAGCCGAGGGAGCGCGAGCCGTCCGAGGCGAGGGCACGCGTGGTGCGCCGCGGCGAGGAGAACACGTGCGCCTCGCAGAGGTCCTGCCACGAGCGGCGCTGGCGCTTGCTCATCGACTGCGCCATGTGGTCGAAGATCGGGTGCAGCACGACGCCGTTGGCGTGGCGCGCGGGGCTCGGCGGCGCGAGGATGTGGCGCGCGTTCTCGACGCAGTAGTCGAAGAGCTCGTTGAGCGTGACGGGCTGGCGACGGCCAGCAATGACGAAGACGGCGTCTTTGTCGCTGCTGCCGCCGCACGAGCGCTTGGGTGCGGCGGGCGAGTGTGTGTACTGCACGCCCTGTGCGCACAGCTCGCGCGGCGTCATGCACACGCCGTGCAGCATGAACGGCACGTCGAGGCTCTCGGCAAAGATGGCGCCGGCAGCACCCGTGATGGGGTGCGGCAGGATGGTCGGGATGCCGCGGTCGAGCAGCTCGCGCAGCGTCGTGACGCCGCCGTCGTAGTACACGGGCTCGTCGCTGAGCGTGCGCGCCACGGCCGCCTCGACGGCCTGGTACGGGTCGCGGCTGGGCTGCACCGCGGGCGGCAGCGTGCGCAGCTGGGCAGGCAGGACGATGGTCATGGCGAGTCAAGGCTGGAGGTGGTGGTTTGCATGCGATGCGCTGATGTGGGCGCAGGACCGTCAGGAGCATGCGCTGGCACCCTTTTGAGGTCCTCCATGCGGCGCCGGAAGTGCCGCTTTGCAGGTTCCGCTGGAAGGAGGACAGGAGAGGCGAGAATGCCTAGCTACCCCTCGGCAGGGCGTCGCCGGAGGTGCAGCGCCCATCTCAGGGCAAAGTGCTCGGTCCGCCGCGTGCGCCCGGCCCATGCGCGGCGCGCACAGGGAGCCGCAGGCCACCAGCGAAGGAAGAACGCGCACTGGCCGCTCCTGCTGGGGACCCTGGTGCCGGCCGCTGCACGAGGACACGTCGAGCCGTAAGGCGTGTCGAGGATGAGATCAGACCCTCTGCAGGAAGATTTTGCGCGTCATCCAAGCAGCAGTCGTGCCGGCTAGACCCGGCCAAGGCCGCTCGCCTTGCCCTTTGACAGCTGGCGCTACGCACACGCGTGGGAGCAGCGTGGACCGCGTGGGAGCAGGAGCCGCAGGGAGCATGGAACGCGCGCAGGAGCCATGCGGCCGCTCAACTGGCGCTGGGGCCGGCCCAGCGAGGCCACAAGCTCCGGCATGTGACGTACAGCGCAAAGTGAGAGATGACCGAGACCGTCGAAAAGCAAGCTGTATTGGCCTGGTGCCGCGAGATGCAGTCGACGACGAGGGTCAGGGCACGCGTTCGCACACCACGCGTTGGTCCAGGGGCTGACAGGCTGTGTGAGCCGCCACGTGATCCTACTCGACATCTCCGGCTCAAGGTCGACCTCAACGGTGGCTGGTCGACGTGCAGCAGCATGCCGAGTGTCGCAGCTGCAGCGTGGACGCCGCTGCGGCAGGCGGGGCCGCCTTGCAGGCTAGCGCCGCGCTCAGGACACCGCACTTCCGGCTCGCTCGGCTTGATAGCAAAAGCGCAGGGTGACGTGGGCCGGAGACAGTCTCCTGGGTCGCGCTTGGAGCCAGCCGCCGTTGAGCAGCCCCGCAGACACCCCCTGAGCCAAGGCCCCACGCGTCGGACCGTTGTGCGTGCCGCAGCAGCTCGCCGCGCCGCAATCTGTCGCACGGCATGTGGGGCTGTGGCGGCGGATGGACGAGCCGCCGCCGCGCTGAGTCGAGTCGCCGCAAGCTGGACGCCGTCGGCGGGGAGCTCAGGAGGCATCAACACAACCCGCGTGGTCACGCGAGGGCGGCAAGCGCGCATGGCGGAGCCCGGCGGATCTCGACGGCGAGCCACAGCCGCCGGCTGAGCGCCCAGCTCGCCGGCCGTGACGTCGAGGCTCTTGGCGCCACGCAGCAACTCGTGGCGCGGCATGCGCTCGAGAGAAAGCTGGAAACGGACGGTGCATGTCAGGTGCGGTGCCCCGCACTCCGACCGGCGTTGCCCGGCGCGGCGCGACTGCGGCGGCGAGGCGCTCGCATGGGAAAGTTCGGCCGGCGGCGACGCCGACGAGCTCGCGACGTGGACAGTTGCTGCGCGCTGCGGACCTCTCGCGGCTTGGAGGTGCGAGGCCGCTTCTCATGCCGCTCTGGCGTGCGGCCAAGCCGGGCCAGCGCACGAGGCGACAGGCGGGTGCATGCGCGGCGTCTTGCTCTCTTCACTGCGGCACTCTCACGGCGCATCGCCTCACGCCGGGGGGCTGGCACAAGAGGCTTGCCGCCGTGCCTCGTGTGATGCGTGGGAGAGAACGGCCGGCTGCGGCATGGGCTCGGCGTCCAATGGCGCGTCTTTAGGGCGCCGGAGCGTGCGGAGTGGGCGGCGCGGCCCCACGCGCAGGGCCCGTCGGAGCGGCGGCGCTGGTGCGAGAGGCCCGAGCTCGCCGAGAGCGATGCGGACTCCGCTCGGCTGCGGGTCGTGGTGAGCATGTGCGGCATGGCTGCGCTGCTCGCGCTGCAGGCTGCGGCGCTGCCTTTGCTCAGGTGCCGGCGTTGACAGCGGATGCAAGGGGCTGCCGCAGCGCAGACGCCGGCGGCGCACGAGGCTAGGAACGCGCGCGTCGCTGTGCGGAAAACGCGCGCGCGTCAAGGCCCAACGCTCCCTCGGACGATGCTGCCCGGCGAGCTCGCCGACCGGGCAGGCAGCTCTGCTCGCGGCGATATCCCATGCGCACGCGCAGGAATGCGAGGAGCACAAGGAAGCCAAGGCGGAGCCGTCATGCTCAGCACGCCGCGTCGCACGGCCGGCGGCGCTGCGAGCTGCCAAGTCCGAGGACTGCGCGCGGGCGGCAGCAGGCTGCGTTTGCCACCCGACGCTAAACGCCTGCCATGGCGCGTCGGCTCTTGGGGTGCAGGAGCGCTGGCGGCTGCTCTTGAGCGCACAGGCCGCGGCCGTGGAGGTGTCGAGCAGCGCCAGCGCCGTGCGGCCGTAGCGTTGACAGCGCGGGAGGCAGCAAGAGCCGACAGAGGATCTGCGGCTGTCATCTGACAAAGAGGCCGCCTTCTTGTCGTCGTCTCCAAGGGCGAAATTCGAACGGCATGCGGCCTCCGCAGCCGCATCAGGCGTGGAGCTGGGTGCTGGCCCCTGGGGTGCAGAATTTGTATTCGCGTTGCTCCGCCGATGGCTCGCAGAGGGGCAAACCAAAGGAGCAGACCCTGCGTCTGGCGGCTGCCGCGCCGCAAGCAGACTTGGCCGTGCGGCAGCGCTTGCACGGCGAGCGTCCACGCGCTCCTACGGCGCTGCGAGGGATCTGCATCTGGCGGCGCTCGCTTCCACGCTCGCAGCCAGAGCGGCAGCCGCTTCGGCGGCGCAGGACGAGGAGACGAGGAGACGGCCGCGCTGATGCACGGCGAGAAGCAGGCACCTGCGGAGCGCTAAGCTCCAGTCAGGGTCTGCTTGGCGCGAGACAGGCCGCGTGCCGGGCGAGGGTGCGAGATCGCGCCGAGACGGCGGCTCGGTGGCGGAGGGCGAATCGCGAAGCACAAGGCTCGCCCAGCGGCAGCAGCAGCGCCCTCATCGGCAGCTCGTCTGCCGGACCGATGCCGGCATGCGGCGCTGGCTGCAGCATGTGCATGCAGCCAGCGGCTCAGCAGCTCTGCCTGCAGGCGGTCAGGCGAGCCGAGTCTGCGGCGGCTGAGTGGGCAGGTGCTGCAGCGCGCGTCACTCTGCTGCTGCCTGCAGTTCCCAGGGCCGTCTCCGCGTGCTGCCGCTGGGCAGGCGCCGGCCACGGCATCAGCGGCGCTGCGGACGCGGCACAGCGGCAGCATCGGCCGCTGCGGCTCCGCCCCAACGAGGCGAGCGCTTCGATGGGCACACGCGCAGTCGCCTGTCAGGGCCCGACAGGAGCCCAAATTTGCGCTGGCGGCGTGCCGCTGCCGCTCCACACGACTGTGCTGCTGCGCCACGCTCGTGTTGGCGCTTGCGCGACCCTTCGCGCACGCCGCGCGCACGCTTCCCCGCCTTGGACGCTGGCTTGCTTGCTGCGCGGCTGCGCCCGCTGATCGCTGCCAGATGCGCTCCTAGCGGGCACACGCTGACCGAGCTGGCATGTGGGCGGCGACGAGCCGGAATCAAGAGCGGCGGGCGAGGGAGAGCGCGAGGGCGGCGGCGTGGCGCCGAGGCGAGTCTCACCGCGGCGCGTCTCTGCGGCGTGATGCGCGGCCGCGGCTGCCGGCGCCGCGCTGCAGCTGCTGCTGCGCCCGCCGCTGCCTCCTGACGCTGGACGAACTCGCCTCGCCGGCACCACTCGCGGCTCCTCACACCTCTCTTCCTCCCCCCTCTCGAGTCCGGCCGCGGTCGCACCTTTCCTCGCACCTCTCTCCCCCACACTCCACACCCACTCTGCGCCTTTTTCTCGCAGGCAAGAAGCAGCGCGGCGCCGCCAAGTCGTTCTCTCCACCCCCGACCTGCTGGCGCGCTCCCCGCACTCGGGCATCCCTGCGCGCCCGCCCGCCTCTCCTCCCATCCGCCCTCGGTCCTCTCATCTGCGCCGCCAGCTCTCACTCGCCGCACACACACGTCCTTCACGTCATCGTGAGTGTCTGGCTTGTCGAGGCCTTTGCTTCGAGCTCGCGCCTCGGAAGACGTGGGCCGGGAACAAGGGCGGCGCTGCTCCTCGGCGCAGCGTGGGCCGCATCGGGCAAGCAGCCACGGGTGCAGCCCCTGTCTTGCGCAGGCCATCTGGCCGTGCAATGCCGGCTGGACGAGATGCATGGCCGTGCTCAAGCTGGCCGTCTGTGCCTTGGCAGTGTTGGGCTCGCACTGCGGTGAGAAGAGGCGGCATTGCGGCATCGCGGGTAGCACAGGGGGCCGTGCGTGTGGGTGTTCATCGCGCTCGGCGCAGGCGACGAGCTCGTGCTGCTGCGGCAGCCTCGTCGTCCATGTCTGCGTCGTACCTGCTTGCTGCTGCTGCTGCTTTTGCTGCTCGTCGCCATCCGTGCTTGGCCCCACAGCCGGCCGGCGTGGCGGCCAGGAATTCAGGAGCGCCTTGCGGCCGAGCCGTTGAGCGCGGCGCGGGTCTCTGGGGGCCGCCTGCATGCTGCAGCTGCACCTGCGCGGCTGCGCGCTGATGCTGTTGCAGGCGCGCCGCGGCGGCGATGCCCTGCAGCGCGCGCCCACACTGCTCCCGTGCCCGCGCGCGCGGCACGATCGACGCGCGCGCAGCAAGCTGCAGCCGCACCGCACGCCGCCTGCGCGCCGGCGCCAGTTCGTTTCGCGGGCGCGCCGTCGGGGTTCGCTGCGCCTGCCTGCCTGCGCGCCTCCAATCTCTCGATACTCTCTGCTGCTCGCGGCCGTCCTTGGAAGCCAGCAGCAGCCTGAGCGTGGCCCGGCCTGCCTTCCCGCCAGCATCTGCGGCTGCCAGCGCGGCCCACACCCCTCACTCTCTTCCTCCATCTCCTCGCACGGCTGGCTGACCATCCTCGCTCGCCGCACAGCCTGCCCGCCGCGCGCGCCGCTCGCGTGCACCCTAGCACTCCCTTCACCCCGCACTCGCACCCGCCGCTCATGCTCGCGCTCAACTCCGCATCCTCGACCACGACGATGCAGTACGACCGCAGCGCCGACGCGGCATCCGGCGGCAGCGGCCGCAGCACGCCGACGCACTCGGCCGCCGCCGCGGCGCGCGCCCGGCACCACATGCGCAGCTTCAGCAGCGAGCCGACGCGCTTCGCTGCTGCGCCGTCGAGCGCCGGGCCGTCGCGCTCGCCGGCGCCGTTCCCGAGCAACATGCTGCCGCGGCGCAGCACCGAGAGCCACGCCTCGGCCGCCTCGTCGGCCACGACGAGCGCAGCATCCTCGACGCGCTCCACGCCCAGCTCGAGCCCGGCACCGCCCACACGCCCGCCGCTGCGCACTGCCAGCTCCAGCACGGCCACGGCCAGCGGCAGCAGCATCGGCAGCAGCAGCCGCCAGTCGAGCAGCTCCACAGCCGCCAGCGAGCAGCCGCCGCCGCGAGAGGCAGCGTCCGCGCCCTCTGCGCCGCCGCGCACTGTCTCTCCGCCGGCTGCCACTCCAGCAAGCAGCACGGCGAGCACGCCTGCCAGCAGCACCGCCAGCACGGCGCCGAGCAGCAGCCGCTCGAGCAACGCGAGCAGCGTCGACGGCACGCCGCCGACGCAGCGCCGCCTCTCGCCCACGCGCGCCGACGAGCCCGTGGATGAGACGCTGGAGAAGCTGCGCCAGGCTCAGGCCAACCGCCGGCCCAAGATGATGCGCCTCACGCCCGCTCACTCCAGCCTTCCGGCGCGCTCCTTCAAGTCGCCGGTGGGCAGCAGCGGCAGCTCGAGCTTCGGCGACGTCAGCACGCCGACGCCCAGCAGCGTTGCCTTCCCGGCCAAGGGCCCGCAGTCCAGCGCCTCGGCCACGGCGCCGCTGCACCCGTCGTCGCGCAAGGCCGTGGCGATGAAGCAGTCCGCGCCGGCCGACGAGTCGCCCGGCCTGCTCATCGACCTCAGCCACCTGCCCAGCCCGTCAGTCACGGATCTCGAGGGCCCGGTGACGACGTCGCAGATCGCACCCGACCGTCACCCGCGCGACCGCCACGGCAACCCGATCAAGTCAAGCCTCAAGTCGCCCGCCGCCTCGCACTTCCTGCCGCCGCGCGCCGACAGTGTGCCGTCGCTGCCAGCGAGCATGCGCTTTGCCAAGAGCGTGCCCACGACGCCGACGGTGGCCAAGGCGGTGCACTTCGACTCACAGCTCGAGCACGTCAAGGTGTTCAAGTTCAAGCAGCGCCCGGCCGCCGTGTCGCGCGACGGCAGCCCCGAGCAGACCGAGACGGAGACCGAGGAGGAGAAGGAGCTCTTCCCCTTTGTCTACGGGCGCAACCGCGGCAACAGCTCGCCCGATGCCTCCTTCCGCACCGGCGGCAGTAGCCCAGACTCGCGCTCGTACGGCAGCGGCAGCAGCAGCGGCAGCCTCGCCGTGCCCGCCGAGGCCGAGGAGCAGCTTGTGCTGCGCCTGCCCAACTTCCCGTCCTCGACGCGTGTCGCCGTCGACCGTGAGATCTTCCTCGAGCGCATCTACCTCGCCGACGACCTGCGCAGCGTCAAGGGCAGCGTGCAGGTGCGCAACATGTCGTTTGAGAAGTGGGTCGCAATCCGCTTCACGCTCGACAAGTGGGCCAGCGTCAACGAGGTGTCGGCCGACTACGCCGAGAGCATCAAGGACGGCGCCGCGGACCGCTTCACCTTCTCGATCAAGCTCAACGAGCTGCTCAACTGGCCGCGCGGCGCCGCGGCGCACGAGACGAAGAGCATGTTTATGTGCCTGCGCTACACCGTCGGCAACGCCGAGTACTGGGACAACAACGAGGGCCTCAACTACCAGCTCGACTTCCGCAAGCGCCAGGCGCCCAGCACACCGGCCAGCACGCCCGCGGCGAGCGCCTACTCGCCGTCCGGCTCGTCGGTGCGCTCCTCGTTTGCCAACGGCAGCGGCTCGTCGGCCAAGGCGCGCATCATCGAGATTGCGCGCCGCGGCGTGCACGGCGGCCCGCGCCAGGCGGGCTTCGCCATGGAAGACCTGCGCCGCGAGCTCGACCGGCTCAAGTCCGACGAAGAGGACGAGGACCGGCTGGCTGCGGCCGCCGAGGCTGAGGCTGTCGCCGAGGGCGTGCTGCCGTTCCTCGCCAAGTCCAGCGGCGCCGGCTCGCCGTCGATGGAGCGCGTCAGCCCCGAGCTGGCGCGCGCCTACCTGGCTGAGAAGGCGAAGCGCAAGCAGTCGCCGCCGAGCTCGCCCGGCGGCGGCCGCGGCAACAGCTCGCCGTCGATGTGGTCGGCACGCTACGACTTTGGCGAGAGCCTGCGCAACCCGCGCAACGGCAGCCGCACCACGGGCCACGGCCGTGCCGCCGCGCTCGACTACTTCTCTTCGAAGCCAAGCCCGCGCGCCCCGACCTCGGCGACCTCGTCTGGCCTGCCGTCCTCGACGACGCCCACGCCGAACCAGTTCATCGTCAGCGTCTCGTCGCCCAACGGCAACCTCAGCAGCGCGGCCAGCACGCCGGGCACGGGCAACGACTCGCCCGACTTTGCGCACCGCTTCGGCATGATCTCGCCCGGCCTCGTGCACAACGTCGAGCACCGGCCGATTGTGGCGCCCGGCTCCGAATCGTCGTCGCCGCAGACGTCGCTCGTCGTGCCGCTCGCCGCCGGCCCGCTGCCGCCGTCGCCGGCGGCGCAGCTGCAGATCCGCACGCAGCAGCCGCAGCCGCAGGCCGCGAGCGACCGCTTCTACAGCTGGCCGCACTCGCGCCGCACTGCCTCGCCTGCCACTACGCCCACCGCCGGCGGCAGCGGCAGCAGCGGGCGCGAGAACATGTTCTTCGAGGCCATGCTGCAGAACGGCAGCCCGGTCGAGAGCGGCAGCATGCCCGGCACGCCGCGCACGCCGAGCCCGCCGGCCGACTTCAGCAAGGGCAGCGCCAAGGCCAGCCCGCACTCGTCGGGCGCCACGTCGCCGCTTTCGCCCGACGGCTCGCCGAGCCTCTTCTCGCCCGGCGGCGCCACGTCGATCTGCTCCAACGACTCGGACATGACCGTCGTGACGCCCGAGGACCCGCATGTGCTGCGTCTCGAGCGTGCCTCGCACGGCACGTTCGCCGACGAGGCCGACGATGCCGCCTCGGCTACCTCTTCCTCGAACACGTCGTCGCCGCGTCTGCGTCCTGCGGCGCTCAGTGACATGCAGGAGCTGGTTGCGCGCTACTGCTGGGGCACCGACCTCGTGCCCGGCGGTGGCTCGCTCGTCGCCACGCCCGGCACCGACGCCGCCGTGCGTGTCTCGCCGCCGATCGCTCCTGGCCATGCGCCACACATGTCGCCGCTCGCCAGCGGCGCCTCGACACCGACTCTGTGCTAAGGGTTGCCTCGCTGCCCTTCCCGTTCCCATTCCAGCACGCTCCCACCTCACTGACTTCCCGATTGACCCGCGACCCGCGACCCTCTCCGTTCCGTCCACATCCGCTCTCAGCTCACTCGCGCCCCCATCTGTTCCCACGTCACATCGTTCTCACTCTCCCCGGCCTCACTGCGTCTCGTCTTGCTCCTGCGATGCCCGCCCACACCCAAGAAGTGCCCCTTGTCTTCTCGTCTCGCCGCTCCGTCTCAATTGCCTACATCCAGACATACTTTGATATAGCTCCATCTGACCCGCTGCCGCCCTCGTGCGCACAATACATCTCTTCTCGGCTACTCGTCTCGCGTGATCGTGCCGGCAGAGGTATAGCATTGGGCTCGCAGGCCCCTCAGCCCAGCACACGCCGCAGATCGCCCTCGGCGACGCGCACCAGCGTGACGGGACAGCGCGGGACACGCTCGAGCGCCGCGTGCAGGCAGGCAAAGCAGCCCGCGTAGCCCGTGGGCAGCATAGCCGGATTGGCAATGGGCGCGGCGCCGCTGTGAAAGGAGTCAGCGAGTGCGGCGAGGTGTGAGGAATGTCAGGACTCACCAGAGCACGCAGGAATTGTGCAGCAGGCCCTCCTGCGCCGCCAGCCGCTTCTCGCTGTCCTCGACGGGCGGCAGGCGTGTCGTAGCGACGCCCGGCGCGCGCCAGCTGGCGTCCTTGACGTACAGGCAGCCCTTAGGGTGCGGCAGCAGCACCTTTGGTGCGCCCAGCGTCGGCGCTGAGTCGTTCTCTCCGCCGAGCGCGCCTGATGCTCCACCGCCGCCGCCACGCCGCCGCCGAGGGTTGTCGGGCGAGTACCACCACTCGAGGAACTTGAAGGCGAAGATGGAGAGCGGCAGCGCATACTTGAGCGCCTCGAAGGCCATGTACGGCGACGACTGCAGCAGACGCAGCGCGAACTGCAGCGGCGACCGCAGCGGCGAGGGCATGTCGGGCGGCAGCAGCGGTGGTGCTGGCGGCTGCGGCGCGCAGGGCATGAGCACACAGAACCAATCTGCGATAGCACAGCAGGCGGCCGGCAGCGAGCGCATCACTCACGTAGTCGCCAGGGCCCACACGCCGGATGTCGACCCGCAGCGCCTGCAGCCACGGCCGCCAGTACGGCGTCTTCTCGAAGAGGTAGGCGATGTTGTAGCTCAGCAGCCACAGCTGGTACGCAGCGCTGGCCCACGGGTAGCCGTGCCGCAGTGCGTACGTCGCCAGCGCGCGCAGTCGCTCTATCCGCGTCTGTGAGGCGGTCTGCGTAGCAATGTCAGCGCTCGTGCCGATACGACAAAAGGAGCATTCCAGCGGTGGAGCTCTCTTCCTTTGCCACACGGATCGGTACAGTGCTTTGCGGACGCACTCCACGTTTCTCCAAAGCTGCACTCGCGGGCTCTGCGCCGATGCACACTCACCTCGTCTGCCCAACCGCGCTCATCCTCAAACAGCGCGCCCTGTGCGCCTCCGCCAACACGCTCCCACGCATCGTGCAGCTTGCCCTTGAGATACGGTGCTGCCACGAGCAGGAACAGGCTGGCGCGGATCTCGCGCGGCCGCAGCGCCTCGTAGCGCGCCAAGCTGGCACGCGGCGTCGCGCTGAAGCCCTTGGTGCGCGAGCTCGAGAGTCCCGGGCGTCGCCGCCGCCGCAGGCCGTAGAAGTTCTCGGCAAAGGAGGAGCCTGAGATGCGTGTGAGCTCGATGTCGCACGAGCGCCAGCGACATAGCGAGGCTGCACAGCGGCTAGGGACGGCGCTTCGACCACAGCAGTGCGCCTCGGCGGACCAGCCGCGACAAGGAAAGCTCGGCCTGGCCTGACATTGCTGCCTAGGGACCGGTCGAAGCTCTTCGTATCCCGTCGCGCTGTACAATCCGCTGGCTGTCTGCGCATGCAACAATATCACCTCACGTCCGCTGCCCCTCTTAGCGGCCTCAACGCCAACGCCGCTCCCACAGCCCACTCACCCCACGTCTTAAGGTAGTGGCGCTCGACGGCGTACATTGCGAGCGCATACACCTCGTCGAAGCGGTTTGCGACACGCAGCAGGGCGCGTGGATGGCGCTGCGCGAGCGTGGCGACGACGAAGCGCAGCGCGGGCGCGAGGAGGTCGCGCAGCTGCTCCTGCGCGACGAGCTCGAAGAAGGAGGGGCGCAGCGCGTCGGGCGCGCCCGACTGCGTGGGGTCGACGGAGGAGAGCACGTCCATGGCGTCGGCTGTCGAGTGTCCAGCGCAGCTGAGGCGAGCCCGCTGGAGTATGCGCGGCCGAGGCGGTGCGGGGTGGTGTGTGTGGGACGGAGGAGTGCGAGCGAGCGTGAGTCCGGGCCGGGCCGGCCGCGCTGCCGAGCCAAAGCATGGGCCGTGGGAACAGCGCGGCGTGCGCTTCTCGCGCCAGCAAGGGGCTGTGGCGGCAGGCCGGCGTCTATCTTCCTGCACCTCTTCCTCTCACCACCCCCACCTCTCCTGCCCATCATGCCCGACGGCTCCGGTCCGCCGTCTCAGCGCCGCGCCACCGAGGCTGGCTCCTCGCGGCCCGAAAAGGTGCACCCGCTCCTCACGCGTGCCCAGCTGGCGGCGCGCATAGCCGCCGGCGAGACGCTGGTGCTGCACGGCGTGCGCATCTACCGCCTCGACGCCTGGCTCAAGCGCCACCCGGGCGGCGAGCTGGCCATCCTGCACTTTGTCGGGCGCGATGCGCGCGACGAGATCGAGGCGTACCACTGCGACGCCACGCTGCGCCGCATGCGCGCCTTCCAGGTCGCCACCCTGGCGCCGCAGGACGTGCACCCCGAGACGGGCTACAAGCCGCTCATGCCGCCCGTGCAGCTCGGCTACCGCGCCGGCAAGCTCGAGACGCCCGACGCGCAGTGGCTCGCATGGACGCAGTCGCAGCAGGGCGCAGAGGAGGCGTCCAAGACGGGCAGTGGCGCAGATGACGAGCCGGCGGAGAAGGCAAGAGCACACGCTGCGCCGGCAGCCGAGCGGCCGCAAGGCTTCCCGCTGCCTGTCGCCATGCTCGAGCCGCCAGCACCGCCGGCCGGCATCGAGCCGGCGCGCGAGCAGGCCATCTCGAAGGCCTATCGCGTCCTGCACGACGAGGTCAAGGCGGCGGGTCTCTACACGCTGCGGCCCGCCGGCTACATGCGCGAGCTGTCTCGCTACGCCGTGCTCTTCGCTGCCTTTGTCGGCTGCTATGCGCACGGCTACTTTCTGCTCTCATCGCTCTGCCTCGGCCTCTTCTGGCACCAGGTGACGTTCTCGGCGCACGATGCCGGCCACAGCGGCATCACAGGCAACCACGCCGTCGACCGCGCCATTGGCATCTTTATCGCCTCGCCGCTCGGCGGCCTCAGCCTGGGCTGGTGGTGCGACAACCACGACGTGCACCACCTCGTCACGAACCACCCGGAGCACGACCCGGACATCCAGCACATGCCCTTCTTCGCCATCAACCCGGCCTTCCTCGTCGCCGCCGCGCCCTCCGAGGCTGGCGGCAAGGAGGCGCCGGCGCCTGGGCCGCACGGCCTCTGGAGCACGTACTACCGCCGCTCCCTCTTCTTCGACGCGCCGGCGCGCTTCTTCCTCAAGCACCAGCACGCGCTGTACTACGTCGTCATGTCGCTCGGACGCTTCAATCTCTACGCCAACTCGTACGGCTTCCTGGCCAAGCGTCCCGCACACCGCCGCGACCGCTGGTGGCTCGCCGAGGTGGCCGGCCTCGGCGTCTTCTGGGCGTGGTTCGGCGCGTGCCTGGCGCACTGCCCCGACTGGACCACGCGCGTCCTCTTTGTGCTCATCAGCCACATCTCCACGAGCCCGCTGCACGTGCAGGTGAGTGGCCCGCTCTGGCCCTCCGCGCCGCCACATCTTACTGACCCCTGCTGCAGATCGTGCTGTCGCACTTTGCGCGCTCCAGCGCCGATCTCGGGCTGTACGAGAGCTTCGCGTCGCGGCAGGTGCGCACAACGATGGACGTCGCCTGTCCGCCCTTCCTCGACTTCCTGCACGGCGGTCTGCACATGCAAGTCACGCACCACCTCTTCCCGCGCGTGCCGCGCCACAACCTGCGCGAGGCGCGCGACCGCTTCACGGTCCCCTTCTGTCGCAAGTGGGGCCTCGACTATGCCGAGTACGGCTTTCGAGAGGGCAATGGCCGCGTGCGGGACACGCTGCGCAACGTCGCTATGCAGGTGCGCCTGCTTGGCAAGGTGGCGCGCGCGCAGGCACTCGGCGAGCTGCACTAGCGCTGGCGCTTTGCCGCTTTCGTCCCCTCTCCTTTCCTCGTGGGCCAATGCATCATCTATGCTCTCCTGAATGTTTTGATTGCGTGTGCTCCGCCACTACTCTGCTTGGGCAAAGGGACTGGAACAGAAGCGGTCAGCGACGCGTGTGTCCGCGACAATTGAGGAGGCACGCACTTTGCGATCTGCTCGAAGCCGTCGGCCGGGTTGATGACGGTGAGCGCCGTACCGCGCAGCACAGCGAGGCCGAGAGCCCGCGTCTGCTCCGTCGGCTCGCCCGTCTCGGGGTCTGCATGTGGAGAAGGAGCTCAGTGTCCTGCCGCAGCGGCTCCCCGCGCGCTAGGTCAGACGCACCGTTGATGTACTCCTCGACCTCGTCCATGACGAGGTTGAGCAGCTGGTCGTAGCCCTTCAACACGCCGATGACTGCAGAAGGTTGTCAGAGCTGATCTGGCGCGCATGCAGGGCTGCTTGAACGTGGCCCAGGCAGCGGCACGGCCTGACCGTCCCTTGCGCTCAGCGATGGGCGCCAGCAAGCGGGCGCATATGGCCAACGCTGTCGCTGCCAGCCACGCTGCGAGCTCCCTCTGGCCATCGCGTTGGCTCTTCGCGATCCAAGCAGCCTTCTCCACTCAGTCAGCTCTCGCTCGCACGAGCGATTTCCGCCTCTTCGTAGCTTGCGCGAGGGGGCCCCAAGTAGCCCCTCACTCCATATTTTTGCGCCACCGCCGCTGCCACATGTCTGCCAGCCGCACTCACCCTGACGCCCGCCGGCGAACTTGACGCGCACGCGCTGGTCGACGTACTTGGCCAGGTCGAGGATGGCCTCGCGCTTCGGCCGCTCGGGGCCCTGCGTGGCACTGCCGCCTGCGCCTGCTGCACCGCCGCCCCGTCCGCCGCCGCGCCCGCCACGAGCGCCGCCGCCACGCTGCCCGCCGCGCGAGCCGCCGCCGCGAGCCTGTGGAGGGTGTGAGCACGAGCGAGGGAAGAGCGCCGCGATTGGTGCAGACTCACGCCTCGCTCAGACATGAGTACGTGCGGAGATTGTGCGGTGTGAGAGGGTTCGCCGGCCGGAGTGAGTGAGTGGCTGGTGGAGGTGTGCGTGTGGGTGCAAGTGGTGCGGAGGCAGGCAGCAGCTGCTGCTGGAAGGAGCGCTCCTCGTCGTCGCGCGCCGGCTGCCGCACCGCGCCTGGAGCCGACGACGGGGCCGTGGGAAGGCGACTATAACTCGGTCCGGCGGTGTTGTAGTCCCGGGCGCGTCGCCAATACAGATGCTCCGCGGCGGCCTGTAGTCCCCTCGCTGGCGCGCGCCGTGCACGAGCCGTGCGCCAGCTCGTCTGTTGCTCTCGGTCGCGTCTCTCCTTCTCGCTCCCTCCACGACTGCCCTCACGACCCTCACGCTCCTCCTACCTCCCTTGCGCCACGCACTGCCTGCGTGCCCTCCTCGCGCACCGTCATCGCCGCAGCCTTCCGCTGTGCTGCTTCGCCGCGCCTGCGCCTCGTGGCCCCGCTGCCTTTGAGCTCGAGCACGCTCCTGCTGCTGCCAGGCAGCTGCTCTCGCCGCCATGAGCCGTCCGCGCTTCTTCACGGCGCCGCGCAAGGGTCAGTGCTGCGCCGAGGGGACGACACGTCCCATCGCATCTGCTTACACGCTCCGCCGCCCGCAGGCGAGAACTTCGAGCTGCGCGCTGACTGTGAGGGCAGCACTGAGGTAGGGCCGACAAGCACCGCTCATCACCCCTGCCACAGTGAACTCGGAGTACCGCGACCGGCGGAAAGATGCCATCAAGCGCGTCATTGCCAACATGACTGTGGGCAAGGATGTGTCGGGCCTCTTCCCCGACGTGCTCAAGAACATGCAGACCGACGACCTCGAGCAGAAGAAGCTCGTCTATCTCTACCTCATGAACTACGCCAAGACGCAGCCCGAGCTCGTCATCCTCGCCGTCAACACGTTTGTCAAGGTGCGCAGGTCGTCGTACGCGCTTCAGGCGCTCTGCGGCTGACACACTTGCGCGCGCAGGACTCGGACGACCCCAACCCGCTGGTGCGCGCCCTGGCCATCCGCACCATGTCGTGTCTGCGCGCCGAGAAGATCATCGACTACCTCTCCGACCCGCTGAGCAAGGCGCTGCGCGACGACAACCCGTACGTGCGCAAGACGGCCGCCATCTGCGTGGCGAAGCTGTACGAGATGAAGCCGGAGATGGCGCTCGAGGGCGGCTTTGTGGGCACGCTGCGCGACATGGTGGGCGATGCGAACCCCATGGTGAGTCTGCGGGCAGGCGGAAGGCAACCCTTGGAGACGTGCTGTATGGACCACGGGATCGAGGTCGGGCCCAGCTCCCAGGCAGCGTAGCTGACGCGCGCTGCGTTAGGTCGTCGCAAACGCCGTCACGGCCCTCACCGACATCCACGAGACGGCGCTGGAGGTGGACCCGTCGGGCGAGTCTGCCCTCTTTGTCATCGACACGGCTATTCTGGCCAAGCTGCTCATCGCGCTCAACGAGTGCACCGAGTGGGGGCGCATCGCCATCCTCAGCTCATTAGCGCGGTATAAGACGCGGCCGGGCGACGAGGGCGACAAGGAGGCAGAGCACATCTGCGAGCGTGTCATGCCGCAGTTCCAGCATGCGAACGGCAGCGTCGTGCTCAGCGCCGTCAAGGTGAGTGGACCAGTCGCGTCTCCGAGCTGCCGGCGCTGATGCGGGCGCGCCAGGTGATCATGATCCACATGGAGCGGATCCCGAAGCAGGAGTTCGTCAAGCAGCTCGTGCGCAAGATGGCGCCGCCGCTCGGTGAGCGTCGCGTGTGCCAGTCACGCGTGCACACAATCTGATGCATCGATGCACAGTGACGCTCGTCTCTTCTGCGCCCGAGGTGCAGTGGGTCGCGCTGCGCAACATCAATCTCATCCTGCAGAAGCGGCCCGACGTCCTCTCGACGGAGCTGCGCATCTTCTTCTGCAAGTACAACGACCCGAGCTACGTCAAGCTCGAGAAGCTCGAGATCATGATCAAGCTCGCCAACGAGAAGAACGTCGACATGCTGCTGAGCGAGCTGAAGGAGTGAGTGCGCCGCCTCACCTGTGCGGCAACAGCGCTGATCAGCTCTGCCTGCAGGTACGCCTCGGAAGTGGACGTGGACTTCGTCCGGCGCGCGATCCGTGCCATCGGGCAGTGCGCCATCAAAATCGACGATGCTGCCGAGCGCTGCGTGCACGTGCTGCTCGACCTCATCGCGACGCGCGTGAGCTACGTGGTGCAGGAGGCCGTAGTCATCATCAAGGTGTGTCGCGCGGACAGCACGCTCCACTGGTCCCCCTGTCTGACGCTTCTCTGCCAGGATATCTTCCGCAAGTACCCGCAGAACTACGAGGGCATCATCCCGACGCTCTGCGCGAATCTGGAGGACCTCGACGAGCCGGAGGCCAAGGCCTCGCTCATCTGGATCCTGGGCGAGTACGCCGAGAAGATCGAGAACTCCGAGGAGCTGCTCGGCTCGTTCCTCGACAACTTCGTCGACGAGCAGTACCCTGTGCAGTTCCAGATCCTCACGGCCATCGTCAAGCTCTTCCTCAAGAAGCCGGAGCATGCGCAGGGCACGGTGCAGCGCGTCCTCGAGCTTGCAACGAAGGAGTGCGATAACCCGGATATTCGAGACCGCGCCTTCATCTACTGGCGCCTTCTGTCCAGTTCGGACAGCAACGCCGGCAAGGTGAGCCTGTATGGGTGTGAGGTCCGACGAGACGCTGGCTGACATCGCCTTCACAGTCCGTCGTGCTGGCTACGCGCCCGCCGATCTCCATTCCCCTCACGACTGTCACGCCGGCGCTGCTCGACGAGCTTGTCAGCGACCTCTCGTCGCTCGCGAGTGCCTACCACAAGCCCGAGTCAACGTTCATCGGACGTGGCCGCCTCGGCGCCGACGCGCTGGCCAAGAAGTGCGTACGCGCGCTCCTCTCCCTTCTGTCTCTTTACTGACGCGCTTTGCTCTTTCGCAGGCGCGACGAGGTTACGCGGGAAAAGGCGCTGGCCACCGTTGTGCAGGGCCAGGGCGCCGAGAACCTGCTCGACTTCGACGCCGACGACGAGCCGGCACGGCCAGCAGCGCCGGCTGCCGGCCTGAGCGGCATCGAGGACCTGATGATTGGCGACTCGGGCCCCGCGCCGTCGAGCGGGCGGACCGCTGCGGCTGCGGCGCAGGCGGGCGCGCTGGACGACCTGCTGGGCCTCTTTGACAGCGCGCCGCCCACGTCGGGCCAGGGCCAGCAGACAGGACTCGAGGTGCTCTCGTCGCTGCCCGCCGTGCCGGCACACTCGCCACTGCCGGCCAACGGCGCACAGGCGCGGCAGCCGGACTTGCTCGATCTCCTGTAGCTGAGAGGCACGCATGCGCCAGTCAACTCGATGCCTCTGTCACCAGCATGCGGTCGTGGACGAGTCTGTCGTTAGGTCATTACGGAGAAGGGAGAATACAGAGCGGCCATGGAGGGCCGGAGGGATGGAGATGGAGACGGAGCAAGTGCGACGGAGAGCGCAATAGGTCGGACACTGAACTGTAGTGGCAGCGCAGAGCGGCTTGCCTCACTGCTTGGCCGCAACCGCGGGCGCAGCGGCCGCCGGGCTGCCGCCGAGCCAGCCGAACCAGCCGCTCGACTGGGCCGCGGGCGCAGCGGGACCAGCGCTCTGCTCGACGGCGACGGGCACGTCGGCAGCCACGACAGTCGCGGCAGCAGCGGGCTTCTCGCTCGTCTGCTGAGCAGCAGCAGCACGCTCGGCGCGCATAGACTCGATGCTGCGAGAGTGAAGGTCGAGTCAGTGATGCGTCGTCGCGGAGAGCAACCCGCGATGGACACTCACCGCAGCTCGTGCTCTTTCTTGGCCGCCGCCTTCTGCTGCTTGCGCGCGGCACGCCCGGCCGGCGTGAGCGAGGCGAAGACCTGGCGGCCGCCGACGTTGCTGGCGGCCGTGTGGTAGGTGTAGGAGGTGCGGTCGGGGCGCTTGTGCGCGAGAGAGGGGTGTCAGCGAAGTCGAAAGCCACCTCCGGAGCGCCGGCGCATGTGTGATGGACCTGAGCGCTGAGCGACACCTTGCTACCTGCACTAGAGGCCAGCAGTAAGGACCTTGCCGATGGACAGTAGTGCGAGAAGCAAGACATCAAACAGCGCTCAAAAGCATCACGCATGCGCCGCCTCTGCCGCGACGCACCTCGCTCCACGGCACGCGGCAGCAGCAGCTCAGCGCCGCCAGCACGTCGCAGAGGCCGATGAGCAGGCCGAAGATGCCGCGCACGAGGATGCTGCCGATCTCGCCGATGGCGAGGAAGACGTTCTCGAGCAGCTCGCCGAGCCACATGAACGACTGGGCAAAGCAGGAAAAGACGACGCCCATGGTTGCTTGGAGGTGGGCGTTGGTGCGGAGTGTGAGGAGCGGTGCGGAGTGCGAGGCGGGAGGCGATGGAGACGAGAAGTCGTGAGAGGGTCGTGAGTCGTGAGAGGGGTCGTTAGGCGGCGGAGGTGGTGGTCGGGAAGCAAGCAGCCAGGAGCACGTGGGCTCCCCGCACCAAACATACCCCTGCCCCTGAGGCGGTGACACTAAGTGCATGCGCCACGCCCGAGTCCCGAGCGCGGCTTGCCTTGCCTCCTCCTGCTCCACATCACGCAGTTTCGCCTTCACTTCATCTGGCTCGCTCTTCCAGCAGCCATCACTTTCGCGCTCATTGCAGCACATCTCGCTGCCAGCTGCGCCTCAACACGCCGCATGTCCGAGCCCTCGACGTCCGCCTCGCCTGCCGCATCCTCTTCCTCCTCAGCGCCGCAGCGCGGCAACGACGCGCAGCGCGCCCACAACGCCCGCGCCCAGCACGGCAACTTCCATGCCTACTACCACATCCGCGCCGCTCCTGCTGTGCCTGATGCCGCGGTAGCCGCAGCATCGGCGGCGGCAGGCGATCCGCGCGTGCCGCTCATCCTCGAGGAGCTGCAGCGGCAGCGCGGCGAGAGGCAGTGGCCGCTGCGCCTGCTGGACGTCGGCTGCAACGCTGGCAAGATGACCTTCGCTCTTGGTGAGTGGCCTGCTCGGCAAGACCACTGACCATCTGGCTGAGCTGTGTATTCCTCCTTCAGCTACTGCTCTGCCGCAGGCTGAGCACGTGCTGGGCGTCGACATCGATGCCGCCCTCATCACCTTAGCCCAGGCGCAGGTGCGGCGCTTGCAGCGGGGCAGCGCAGCGCGGCCACCGCAGGAACCGCCCGAGGCGAAGCGTGCCAAGCACGAAACTACGCCTACGCTGCAGTTCGAGCCGTGCGACTGGCCGCGAGCGCGCTTGGACCTCGCCGATGCCGAGAGGCATGTGCAGCTGCTCAGCAAACCACCCGATGGCGTGGAGGAGGACGCGGCGCGCAGAGCCCGCGAGACGCAGGTGCGAGGCAAGGCTCGTGAGGTGAAAACGCTGCAGCGTGTGCTGCAGCAGGACGAGAGCGGCTGGGACTGCTTGCTGGCGTGAGTGCGCCGAGCGCCCATGCGCGAAGATGGCGCCCAGTCGCGAAGATGGCCTAGCTCACGATGTCTTCGCGCAGGCTCTCGTTGACGAAGTGGGTGCATCTTCAGCACCACGACATCGGGCTGCTACACTTCCTTGCGCGTCTCGCCAGCTCTCTGCGGCCGCTCGGTGTGCTGGTGCTCGAGGCGCAGCCCTGGGCGTCGTATGAGCAGGCACGCCGCGTCATTGGCGCCGAGGGCCGCCGCCGGCACGCCTCATTGCGCCTGCGGCCTGATGACTTCGAGTGGTGGCTGGCGGCGCTTGGTCTTGAGGGCCCCCAACGACTCGGCAGTACAGCTGGCTATGGTGAGTCTACCTTCTCAGCCTAAATGCTGCGTGCAAGCTCCACCATTAACATTCCGCTGCGACAGGCTTCCAGCGTGCCCTCGAGGTGTACATTCAGCCCGCCGAGCCGTCCGCCGCAGCTCTGCAGCTGCGCCAAGCCATCTGCGCCGAGGCTGAGAGCGCTGCTCTGCGCCGCTCGTCAGAGGACGCGGAGGCTGCGCACGAGCCGTGGACGTTCGACTGGGTGCCGCGCGAGGGGCGTGTGCGCGACAGGAAGAAGAAGAAGAACGCTGGCCACCCGCAAGCGGGCAGAGACGGCCAAGCCGCGGACGCAGAGGGCGCGGGTGCAGCATGCGGCGTCGATCTGTGACGGCCCGTCGCCCACAATGATACCCCACTCTGCATGTGTCCAGCCGCAAGGCGTGCGTGGGCGCACGAGTGCCGGTGCGAGCGCTCGGGAGTCTGACGTGCGGCTGGCTCGCGCGATCGAGCGCACGCAGCTTACGGGCGAGCCGGGGCCTCTAGCACGGACGCCTGTCTCAAGTCTCATCCTCTGGCGCAAGCCTGCAGTTAGTCCTGCTTAGGCTGGCGAGCGACAAGCGCCGTCGCGCAGGAGGGGAGCGGCAAGCGCGCCATGGAAGCAGACCATGCTGCGCGCCGAAGCAGGTCGGAGTCCGCTGCGGGAGCAGCTGTCCCAACCCTCCCGTGCGGCCAGCTCGAGCGAACGGATGCGAGAGGGTCGCCGAGCCGCTGCGTCGGCCAGGGGCCGCACGTCGGCCCCTGTGCCTTGAGCGTCCGCTCTCACTGAGGCCTCGGCGCAGACGACGGAGCGCGGCAGGTCACACGTGCGCCGAGGGTCCCGCACTGCCATCCCAGTGGCCGCTCGAGTCCGCCTCGGGCATGGCGTCGCCGATGGAGGCGGCTGCCAGATGGCGGGCGGCGGGCGCAGACGAGAGACGCATGAGACTTGCTGCCCGCCGTGCCGGCCGCGGCAGAGGCGCGAGCCGCTGCACCTGCGGCGGGACCGGCGAGCGCCGCCCAGCCCAGGATTCCCCACCGGCAGCCCGCGTGGGCGGCCGCAGCTCGATCTGTTGATCGGCTCCGTGAGACGAGACTACAAGCAAGCGCAAGTGCAAGCAGCGGGACTTGCCCTGCAGGCAGGTGGGCTGGGCCGCATGAGCCGTCCTCCGGCGACGCGCCCGTCCCGAGGTCGGCGCGGGCTGCTTGTAGGCCGACTCCGCCTCTGGCGCTAACGCGTCCGTAGCGTGGCAGCAGCCGCGGCACGAGGCGGCCGCATCGCCGCAGCCGCCGGCGCCGCTTCCCTCCCGCCGGCCGGGCAGCGCTTGTGCTTGCTCGCCGCACCAGCGGCTGCGCCAAAGCCGCACCACTTCGCCATCGCGCAGCAGTCGGGGTGCACCGTGTGCGTCGGCAGCGCGCAGGTCCGACGCCAATCTCGCACGGCGGCGAGGCCGTGTCGCGTGGAAATGGTGCCGCTGCAAGCGAGCTTCCTTCCCCGCACGCGCCCCTCGCCGCCGTCGACGACGAGCGGGCGCATCCTCGTTGCGTGCGTGCGCTGCACTCACTCTCACTCTGCCGCCGGGCCGGCGCTGATGACATCGCTCTTGCTCGCATCTCGCACCTCTCTCGCCCTCTGCGGCGCATCCGCAGCCGAGCTGCAGGTGCGAGACAGATCGCAGCCGCCGGCTTGCTCCTCGTCGGCGCCAGACCGTCCGAGGCGCCTCGCCGCGGGCACAGCGACAGCCTCCGGCTTCGCCGCCGTGGCACCGTGAGCCACCGCTTCAAATAGCATGCTCTGAGGCGACCAGATCCAGCACCCGCACCCTCCGTCGTCGCCCGCCATGCAGCTCACTCTCCTCTCCGTGCTCGCCCTCGCCGCCTCGGTGCACGCCCTGCCCGCCGACAGCTCGGCGCCCGTCGCCAGCGTCGAGTACGACCGGCGCACCTCGGAGCTCGAGATCCGTGCCGCCACGCCGGAGCGCATCTCGTCGCAGCTGCGCCGGCTGCAGAACAAGTACGCCACGAGCTTCGCCAACTTCCAGCTCAACGAGGGCCGTGCCAACCCGCTGCTCAACGCCTCGAGCATCGGCGACGTCGTGGCGCGCATCGTGGCCAACGCGCCGGCCCAGCGCCGGGCGCCCTCCGGCACCGTGCCGCTGACGGACGTGCAGAACGAGCTGCTCTGGGTCGGCCCGCTCAGCTACGGCACGCCGGCGCAGACATTCCAGCTCGACTTCGACACGGGCAGCTCGGACACGTTTGTGGTGTGTATGGCTGCAAACCACTCGCTGCCCTGTGGCTGACCCCTCCGCTCGCCAGCAACCGGGTCTCTACAAGCCGGCCGCCTCAACCTCGTCGACGACCAACGGACAGAAGTTCCGCGTCGCGTACGGCGATGGCACGATGGCCACCGGCACCGTGTACCGCGAGACGGTGACCATCGGCGGGCTCAAGGTGAAGAACCAGGCCGTCGGCGCCGCCGACCAGAGCACGCTCGACGACACGAGCTCGAACGGCATCAGCGGCTTCGGCTTCCCGAGCATTGCGCAGTTCAAGGCCGACCCCGTGTGGGTCACGCTCTACAAGCAGGGCAAGCTAGGATCCAAAGCCCAATTTGCCTTTGGTCTCTCGCGCACCAAGGCACGATTGGACCTCGGCGGCGTGGATAAGGCCAGCTACTCGGGTAGCCTCGTGTACAGCAAGGTCGACTCGTCCAGCGGCTTCTGGCAGACGCCTGGCACGCTCAACGGCAAGGCCATCAACGCGGTGAGCAGCGGCGGTGGTGTAGAGCCAGACTTGCCGCTGATTCGCCTCCTGCTCCAGATCATCGACACCGGCACCACTGTTGTCGTCGGCCCGGTGCGTGTGCCTGCAGGCCCTTGGCTGCATCCCTGTGCTCATCCCTTGTCTTCCTCGACAGCCGGCGGATGTGCTCCAAATCTGCCTCGCTGCCGGCGGCACGCCCATCGTCACGCCCTCGGGCACGTCGGTGCAGGTGCTGTGCGGCTACACGCCCCTCTACCGCCCAAAGGTGAGTGACACACGGCAGCGCGACTCTGCATCTGGTGCCACAGCTGAACCCTTTGAGCAGTTCGTTTTCACGTTCGGCGGCGCCTCCTACACGCTCTCGGCGGAGAGCGAGGCCTTTGCTGAGCAGGACGGCCTCACCGTGAGTGGCCTGGCTGTGCGGCCTGCGACCGTGCGCTGATCTCCTCACCTCTACAGATTGCCGGCATCATCGGCGCCGACATCGGTCTTGCGAACGCGTGGATTGTGGGAGAGTGCGTGCAGCGTGCTGCGAAGCCACCTTGCTGCTCAGCTGACTCTCCTCTCCGCACAGCACCTTCCTGCAGAACGTCTACGCCGCCTTCGAGGGCCTGCAGGGCGGCAACACGCGCGTCGGCTTTGCGCCGCGCAAGCTCTGAGCAGCACGCCAGCTGCTTCCTCTATGCTCCTTCCTCCCGGTCGCAGAGGCGCCAGGCCCGGCGCCGCCTCCCGCTTATTAGCCCTGCCTGCTCTTATGACGCTGTACACCTTCGCCTCACGCCACGGCATCGTCTGCGTTGCTTGAATGATTGCATTGCTGCGCTCACCAACGCTTGTACGGGAGGAACTGGGCACACGCGCGTCAGCATGCGCCGTAGACGTGGGCCAGGTCCTGCTCACCTTGCCGTTGAACGTGATGACGACGCGGTCGCCGGCAGGGTCCTCGACGCGCTGCACGTCGCCCTTGAAGTCGATGGCGGACATGCTGGAGACTCAGAGTCAGCCGAGGAGCTCGAGCGGGAGGAGCTGGGGGTGTAGGGCTAGCAACGCACATGCCATCTCCGAACTGGCGGGTCAGGCAAGTCAGCTGCTGCCCTCACAGCCGCGCAGGAGGCGCACCCACCTTCTCATGGATGATGTGCTTGAGCGGGTGGCCGTACACGAGCAGCGCCTCGTACAGGCGGTACACGACGGGGTCCTTGGGCGGCCACTCGCCGACGCCGCGGTGCGGGATGAACGACTCGCCGAGCGCCTCGTTGAGGTACTCCATGCGCTGCGAAGCATGTGTAAGCCTAGGGCCGGGGCGTGTACTTAGCAAGCGCACGCACGATGTTCAGCGACTTGGAGAGCGCCTCGATGTCCCTCAGCTCAGGCTTGGCCTGGCCGTACATGCTGGCATGGCGCAGGCGTCAGTCGCGGAAGCGGCGCATACATGCGGCGCCCGGGGCAGGACGAGCGCAGCTGCTGCCTTCTGGTTGCCTCTCCCACCCTACAGCCCATGCATGCACCACTCACAGGCCCGCGGTCCACCACTCGCTGCGGCCAATGTCCTTTGCGATCGTCTCGAAGCTCTTGCCCGACTTGTTCTTGGCCTCGTGCAGCGCAGCAAAGATGGGCGGCAGCTCGCGCACGGGCGCAGGAGTGTGGAAGGCCGAGGCGGACATGGCTGGTGGCTTGTGGTGCGAAGAGGTATGCTGCTGATGCGGTGGATGTGGTCGGTAGGGAAGGAGTGCGAAGGACGGCAGCTTCATGCTGGTCGCCGCGCCGAGCGCACGAGCCAGGCACGCCGGAGCGGGTGTGGAGTCGCAGCACCGCGACAGGCCGCGGGTCGCCGAAGTCCGTGCGTTGCTCTTCGCCTGCGGGGTCTCGAGAAGCCGAACCAGGCAGAAGAGAGGCCCAGCAGCAGCAAAGAGCGTGCAGCAGAGCCGGTGGCTTGGGCACGACGGGAGCGCCAAGCGGAGGAGCATCGAGGATGCGGACATGCATGGCGGACGCCTCCACATCGGCACGGCGCCTGTCTCCTGCGCCCGCTCCGCCATCTTATCGCGCCTCGGCGCCTTATCGCCCGCCGCAGCAACCTCGTCGATGCTCCGCACTCCGGGTCGCCGTCACTGCCGCATCGGCTGCGCTCACAGATGGCGAAGGCTCGACACATCATGCATCGTGGCATGTTGGGCAGCGAAGCGCCGCGATGGCGGGCGTGGAGGTGGCTGCGGGCCCCCGGCTCGCTTTGAGCTCGACGCGTTGTAGGACGCGGCGGTGCAGAACGGAGGACAACGCTCCTTACCCTGCTTCTCAACCTCCGCACCAGCACCGCGGAGGGCGATGAAGCACACGCAAAGCTTCAGTGACACTAGCATGGCATAATGAGCGCAACCCGTGTGCCCCTCAGCGCAGGCGCTGCCCCTCAGGGCCGGCCGCCACGCGCCTTCTTGGCGCGCCCCCGCCCCGCAGGCGCACCCTTGCGCTTCTTGCCCTGCTGCGCCCGCGGCTCGGGCTCGGGCTCCGAGTCGCCAGCGCTCTCTGCGTCCGAGGCGTCGCTGCCCGCTGCTGGGGCCGCAGCTGGTGCCGCGGCAGCCTTCTTGCGGCCCTTGCCCTGGCGCCCGGCCTCGGCCAGGTCGTCCTCGGCCGTGGAGCGCATGACGCCGATCATTGACTCGTGCTCTGCGGGGGTAGGACTCCTGTCAGCCAGTGTGCCACCCCTCTGCTCCTCTCTACCACTCACGCTCGTCGGCCAGCAGACCCTCGACGAAGCCAGCTCGCGAGCCGCTGGTAATGTACTTGTGGCTGACGCCGCGCGCGCTCAGCGGGCGGCGCAGCATCTCGGCCAGCTCGGCCTTGAGGCCCTCGACCTTTGCCTTTGCCTTGCGGGCCGCCTTGCTCTTGCCGCCGGCGTTGCCGCTGCGGCCGCCTCCGTCGACATCCGAGTCGCCGCCGTCGAGGTCGCTGGCAATGTCGATGTCGGCCTCGTCGGCCAGCTGCTTCAGCCATGACTCGTCGTGTGCCGCCTTGGCCTGGTTGTGCACGGCATTGTCGATCGAGCGCGACAGCTCGATGCGCTCGCGCAGCGCCGGCAGGAAGGAGTACTCGATCGGCAGCGCCGCCGTGTCGTCGGCTACAAGAAGGTCAGCTTTGACTCTGTCAGCTGTCGCCAGGTCGACTCACGCCGTTGCAAGCTGCGGCACAGCTCGCGCCACACGCGCTTCTCTCCAGGGTCGATCATCGCCAGGCTCAGACCGCTGCGTCCTGCACGAGCTGTGCGGCCGGAGCGGTGGACGAAGGCGTCGGCACTGCGCGGCAGCTGGTAGTGCACGACGTGGTCGACGCCCGGCACGTCGAGACCACGCGCCGCCACGTCTGTCGCGAGGAGCACCGAGGCCGTGCCCGTGCTGCGCCCCTGCACTGCCGCGCTCGCGTCGATGGCCGCCGAGCGGAAGCGGTCGAGGTACTTGAGTCGCTGCTTCTGCTGCAGTTGCGAGTGCAGCGGGAAGGCATTGATGCCCAGGTTCACGAGCAGCGGCAGCAGTCGCCGGATGCCGTCGATCGAGTTGATGAACACAATCGTGCGGCCCGGGTAGCGCAGCAGGAAGTAGTAGAGGTATAGGTCCTTCTCCTTGCTCAGGCACTCGACCTTGGTCTCTTTGAGCTCGGCAGCCATGCGCCGCTCAGGCGTCAGGTCGATCACGGCCGGGTCGTCGTCGCGGAAGTCGATCTTGTCAAAGAGGTCCTCAAGCGTGCTGCCGCCGCGGCTCTTGCGATTCCGGTTGCGGCGCTTGAGATTCCGCTGCAGGTCTTTCGACAGCGTGGCCGAGAAGATGAGCGTCTGCATCGAGCTGCCGCCCGAGGTGATGCTCGACGTGGGCACGACATCAACCGCGCTGCACAGAGAGTCAGCCAGTGGCTGTCTGACGCCTCGCTGCTACTCACGCATTCTTGCCCTTGCTCGGCGCCCGCCGCACAAGCGCCAGAATCTGCTCCATCTCCGCGAAGTGGCCCGTCTCAATCATGCGGTCCGCCTCGTCGACGACCAGGAAGCGTGTGCGCTTGATGCGCGCCGTGAGCGTGTCGTCGCTCTCGCACATGTCCCACAGCCGGCCAGGCGTCGCCACGACGATGTCGGCGCCGGTTCCGCGGTGCAGCAGGCGCCGCTGCTTCTCCTCGCTCATGCCGCCCGTCAGCGTGGCGATGCCGGCGAAGCGCATCTTCTTGCCGGGCGGCGTCGCGGCCTCGACGAGCGCGTTGAGGTGCTTCGACACCTGCAACGCCAGCTCGCGTGTCGGGCACAGAATGAGGCCAGCCAGTGGCCGCGCGTCCTCACGCTCGGCATCCGACGAGGCGCCAGCCGCGGCAGGCGTGGGGTCGGCCAGCGTGGCCAGCACGTACTGCAAGATCGGCAGGCCGTAGGCAAGCGTCTTGCCTGAGCCCGTCTGTGCGATGCCCACGACGTCGCGCTCGCCGGGCAGCGAGAGGGGCAGCGTGCTAGACTGGATAGATGTCGGCTGCTTGAAGCCCATCGAGTGCAGCGCGCGCCTCAGCGGCGCATGCAGCCCAAAGGAGCGCCATTTGGGAAGGGTCGAGTCTGTGAGTCCCTGCATCAGCAGGCGTCCTATGCAAGCCGAGCAGTCTCGTGTGCTGCCGCTGCCGCATCGTTCACAAGGCCATCGAAGCTGTTCGGAGCACGAGCACTCACCATCGAACTCGTCGTTCCCTGCACTCTCTGCCAACACGCTGAAATCTGCCCTGACCTCCGCGTCCTTGCCCTCCTCCTCTTCATCTTCTGGCGCCTCAGCGCTGGCCAGTGCCGCTGCAGCCTTGCGCTCGGCCTTCAGCTTCTGCAGGCGCTCCTTTGCCTTTGCCTTGGCGCGCTCGCGCTTGTTCTGCGGCTTGTCCGCGGCGGGCGCAGCAGCTGCGGCGGGCAGCTCGGGCTCGTCTGCTGCCGCGTCCGACGCTGCGTCCTGCTCATCGCCCGAGCCAATCGGCTGCCACTCCTCCTCCTCATCGTCTTCTTCGGCCTCTGCCAGCGCCTGAGCCACAGCCTTCGACGACGATGCCTCGGGCAGCAGCTGCACGACGGGCCCGTCGCGCACGACGCGCACGTCGTCGATCTCCTGCAGGCCCATGAAGCCCTCGTCGTCGGCGTCGAGGCCGAGCCAGAAGTCGGCGTCGGTGGTGCCGGCGCCGGCCGTCGCCTCGGACGGCAGGCTGACGCCCTTCCATGCGAGCGTGGCCGGCTCGGCCTTCTTCGTGCGGGGTGCCATGGCGCGGTAGGAGCTAGGAGTGTGGTGGAGCAGAGCAGAGGGGCAGACGCACCTCCTTCGAAGCAAGCTTGGCCGCGCCCAGCCAAAAATTCAGTCCCGCACGAGAGCCGCGCTGCGCCTGGATAAACCTCCAGCGAGGCCAAGTGGAGCTCACCTTCCTTCTCCACCACCCAATTCCCTGATCCAGCATGACCCGCGCTGAGCTGCTCGACGACAGCGAGGACTTGGCACAGTCGCTCGTCGATGTGCTCGCCGTCATCTTCTCGCGCTTCTGCGCACCGGCGCCCGCACAGCCGCTGCGCCTCGGCGACCAGCCGCCGGCCGACGGCGCGCTGGACAGCGAGGCGCTCGACCGCTGGGCCACCGCCACGAACGGACAGCCGCTGCCCGAGGACCAGAAGGAGGAGATCACAGAGTTCCTCGACTGCGACGACGAGGGCCGCCTGACAGTGAGCCGGCCGGTGGCGTGAGGCGCTCGCCGCCCTGACCCCAGCACCCGCAGTTCAAGGGCTTCGTGGAGATGTACCACCTGCAGACAACTGCGGAGCCAGACGAGACATGGCGGGACCTCAAGGCGCATGGGTTGTGAGTGCAGATGAAGACTCAGCTTCGGGAGTCTGCTGACTCGGTCGCAGTGGAGAGGACCTGAAGCCGCTGGCCAATGGCAAGAAGGACGAGGACACAGCGGACGCGCGCAAGGAGGGCGAGGGCAAGAAGGACGAGAGCAAGAAGGACGAGAGCAAGAAGGAAGAGGGCAACAAAGAGAAGGCGTCTGATGAGCCAGCAATGGCATCACTCTCCCTTTCTTCGCGTCCAACCACGCCTGCAGATGAAGCAGGCGACGTGTCCAGCCTCATCGCGCAGCTCGAGAAATTCGCCTCCTCGGATGCAGCTGCGAGCGACGCTGGTGATGAACCTCCTGCTGAGGAGCAGCGCGAAGCGGCGCAGCAGCTGGCCGACGAGGTGGCCGCGCTGCAGTCCATCTACGGCGACGACTCGCTGCACCTGCTCTCCTTTGCCTCGTCTGCCGGGCCGAGCAGCGCTGCATCGACAAGTGCGGGGCCCTGGAGGCCCGGTCAGCGGCTGCGCTTCGCCATCTCCACCACAGTCGAGCCTCCAGCACGAGCCGGAGTCGAGGACGAGAGCATTCCGATCCGGCTGAGCGCCACCCTGCCGGCACACTACCCAGCCTCTGCCTCGCCGCCGCAGCTGCAGCTGCTCAGTCGCTATGTCGGCGACGAGAGTGTGGACCACACGCTCTTCGGACAGGTGCTCAAGGCGTACTTGCACTCATCGCCAGCCGACGGCGTGGCTTTCACGCGCGGCGAGGTGGCACTCTTCGAGGGCACGGAGTGGGTGCGTGAGCGGATCGCAGCCTGGTACGCTGCACGAGTGGCAGAGCGGACAGCGAATGGCCGAGCCAGCGCTCCTGCTCCGGCACGGCAAGAGCTCTCGCAGGCGTCGACGAGCATTGCGCAGGACGCTCAGCCGTCGCAGCCGGGAACGACGACGTTCGACGACGATGCTAGCTCCAGACAGCCGCTGCCGAAGATCTTCAGTGCGCCGGCATTGACCGAGCGCAAGAGTGTCTTTGTCGGCCACGCCGCTCGTATCACCTCGCCGGACGAGGTGCGTCACTGGAGGCTACTGGCCAGCCCTCTCACGAATTCACTCAGCAGTCTCTCCCACAGGTGCCACGAGTGCTCGCCAGCCTGCTCGCAGACCGCAAGGTGGCGCGTGCCACACATCCAGCCATTCACGCATGGGTGTGCCGGCCTGAGGGCGCCGCAGCGCTGCATCGTGACTGCGACGATGACGGCGAGAGCGCTGCGGGCGGACGCCTGGCGCACCTGCTTGACGTCCTGGTGCGTGAGCTACCTACTCCTTCACGGCTCAGCGCTGATTGCATCTCTTTTGCAGGGCGTGGAGAATGTGCTGGTCGTCGTGACCCGTTGGGTGAGTCTCTTCCCCGTCGCGTGCTCGACACGTCGCTCACGTGTCACTCTCGACAGTACGGCGGCATTCACCTCGGAGCAGACCGCTTCAAGCTGATCAACCGCGCGGCTCGCGATGCGCTCGAGCTCGCAAGCGTCGTCGACGGACCACTGAACCCGGAGCACGGCGTCGCTGCGAAAGGAGCCGGCAAGAAGGGCGCCCGGAAATGACAGAGCGGTGACATTTACCCTTCTTCCTCTGCGTGACGGATCGCTACCACAGCGCGCCGCTCGACTCCCACGCCGCTGCGCCTCGCTTGCGTGGTGACTGTGCAGCAGCTGCAGCAGCTGCTACCTTCACCGGCGGCTGCGGCGGCGCCGATACTGTCGCTGGCTCCGCATCTGCAGCGGGCTGGGGGTGCTCCTGCGCATCGGGTGTGCTGCCTGACGACGCGGCCTCGGCGGCGCGCGCCTGCTCTGCCCGCAATCGCCGCTTCTGGCCTTCGCTCATCGGGGCCTCCCACTCTGGCGCTGCAGGCGGGGTTGCTCTCGCTGCCTTGGTCGGCGACGGTGCAAACTTGGGTGCATCGTGCGCGGCGCCATTCACCGGCGCAGCTGCATTTGGCTTGGCGCCACCGAGCGGCCCGAATGCATCGTCGTTGCTTGCCGTCGCGGTGACAGCTGGACGCTGAGAGATGGAAGGGCCGGCTCGTGGCGGAGCTATCCGTGCTTGAGGCGTCTTGCGCGGCGGAGGGGCAGAGCTGCTGCCCAACGGAGCCCACTCATTGACGGGCGCCTGTTGCGCTGGCGCTCGGCGCGGAGGAGCCGGACTCTGAGCGGCGCCGCTCGTCTGCCCGTTAGCGTCGATGTCGGCGCGCTTATTCGGTGCAGGATCGCCCTTCTCGACAGCAGCCATGACTCCAGCCGAGACGGAGCGAGCGGCGCCTCCGCCGCGCTTGCGCCGGAAGCCCTCCTCCCGCAGCGGATTGCCCTCGAGCACGACGTAGAGCGAGCCATTGCTCGTCTCCTCCGGCCGTCGACGAGCTGCGCTGATCAGCTGGCGCGCACGTACGCCGGCCAGCGGTGAAGAGACGTCGGCGCCCGCCAGGTGCGGCTTCTCGCCATGCGCGATGGTGCGCGGAGAGCCGAAGACGGCCTCGAGCGGCTGCAGATCGTCGATGTCGCACCGGTGCACGTCGAGCGTTTTGAGGCTTGGAAAGACCGATTCTGGTGCTGCCACGTCTGAGCCGCCTGTGCTCTGCAGCTCAAACACCTGCGACGAGATGCCATTGCCGCCGATGTCCAGGACTTGCAAGCTGTCGAGTCGGGCAAAGAAGTGCAGCGGCAGCGGTCCCCGGATGAAATTGTCCGACAGGTCGAGCTCAGTGAGGCCAAGGGGCAGCGGTAGATGTGCGTCGCTGTCAAGCCCAAGAGCGTCGTTGGCAAGGCGATTGTTGCCGAGTCGCAGCACCTTCAGGCCCGCCATCGGGCGCGTCAGATCGATGGGCGTGCGTCGCCGGTCGCGCTTCGTCGGGCTGGCCGGCGCGTCCAGGCCGGCCCATACGCCGCCCAGCTCGTTGGGGCCCTGCTCCTTCCTCCATGCCGTGAGCTCTGCACGCGATTCGGCGACGTCCTCGGCCTGCCAGAGGTACTCGATGCGGTTCGAGGAGAGGTCCAGCTCGACGAGAGTGTCGAGCGCAAGCAGCGGCAGCGGGAACTCGGTGAGCAAGTTGCCGGCCAGGTGGAGCGACGTTAGGCACGCGAGGTGCGACAGCTGTCGCGGGACCACTGGCAGACGGTTGTTGTGCAGCTGCGAGAAAGCGATCAGCGTCAGCTTTGGCAGCGTCATGCCGATGCCGGCAGCG